TGTATGGAGAAAAAAAAATAACCAAAAAATAAAATAAAAAACTCACTGTTCTTATAGCTTTACTAACTTTAAGTGAATTTATTTAGAGATGTAAGAAAACAAAAAAAAAATTTAAATAAAACTTAGGACAATTTTAAAGTTATTATAAAAATAAAAAAAATATTAAATATAAAAATTTCAATTTAAAATAAAAAAGAAATGTTTTTGGTTTTTTATTTTTTTGTTGAATTTAATTTAGAAAATAAGAAACACCTTTAAAAATGAAGAAAATTGTTATATGCAAATGCAAAATAATAAATCTTAGATTATAAAGAACAAACCAAAAAAAAACAAAGCTTAAAAATTACTGAAGAAAAATAAAACCAAAAATATAGAATGGAAAATCTGTAGAAATGTTTAAAAACTGTACGAAATATTAAAAATTATAATGAATGTAGCAATAAAACGCAAGAATTCTGATTAAAAAGTTAAATTTTAATTGTTTTATTTGATTACTGGTATTTGTTAAGTAAACAATCCATTTAACTTATAGAATCCGGTATTAGACTATTAAGAACAAATGGAAATATGACTCCGATCCCATATACTCACCGAACCAAGTTAACGTTTATTGAACGCATCCTATGGTTTTATTTAACTTTAATTTTCATAAGAAACAATACCCGTTAATAATTCTCATAGGAAACAATAGCCGACCAGATCAAGTTTTTCTTCTATTTTAGCACAAAATATTGATTTTTATTCGAATTTTATAATAAGCCCCGCTTATTTATAATAAGCCCCGCTATACCAAATTTTATTGAGCAATTTTATTTTTTTTTGATTCAACACACAATAATATTTCCAAAAACTTTTAAAAACGTGAAGATCCCGTAACTTTTCAATTTAGAATGCATCTTACTTCCAATACTTTACTACACCCAATATTTAAAATAAAAATTTATATCACATATCGGTGCCTACCATATGAAACCTGAATTCCAGGCAATATTTATGAAATTAATTTTTACTTGCATATTAAGAACCCTGGAAGATCAAAACATTTAAAAATATATAAGGTCAAAAAGCATATTATTTGTATTATCTATACAAGTTCAACGAAGTTTAATTCATAACAATGGCCATTATTTTCATTCAACCATGTCTAATCGAAATATATATATGCACATATAAAAACTTTTTTATATACAATAATCTTTACAGTTCAATAAATCTTGCATAAATATTTTAATCTCTTTTTCCTTAACACGTTAAAGGAAAGAATAGCATAAAAGTTAATTACTCTTTGTTCGATATATGTAGTACTGTTCCGGTCATACTATATTCAAACATATAATTATACATTGAATGGAAGATAGCTTCTATTATTATTATTCTAAACTAACACTATAATTTCCTTTTATAACAGAATCATTAAACATCCCGACAATATTCCACTCCATATTTGTTATATTCTCTCTTTACTCCATATTATATTGTATTATATTTATTTATTTATCTTTTATTATTTTAATGTTGTTATATAACACTTTTGTTTATTTATTTATTTATTTTATTTTCCATTACAATGTTTATAAATTTACTATACTCTGTATAGTTGAAAAAAAGAAATACACAATATAAAATAACAAAAATCAAAGAAGGTGTTTAAATGATTGTGTGTATACATACCGTATAATAATAATAATAAAGTCCTTTTTATTGATATTGATATGGAAAATTAATATCGTAATATTATATAAATCATTGTTTCGATATAAAATTAGTTTTGTAAAGTTTCACAATTTTATTATCTAATTATTTTGTTATTGAATAATATGAAAGTCAAAATTAGTTTATAATGGTATAATGTTTAAGGTAATTAATACTACAATTTGAGATAAAAATTCTCTTTTTCGAAAATTTCAGTTTAATAAAAGATAATTCATGAAATTCAAGATATTTATAAGCACTTTCGTTTCATTGCTTTAAAAAAACACTACAGTTTTAAAACAATGATCATTTTTAGGTGAAAATTTAAGAAAAATTTTATAATTTTCATAATTAACCTGATGTATGAACTTTATTCAAGGTGTTCCATAATTTTTTTCATAAAGGTAAGGATGATTTATGTTTTAATTACATATATATGTACTTTCCAAAACTACATTAATCATTTTCCATTTTCTGTTTTTTAAGCAAGGATATTAAGTTTATGCAGATTTAATTACTTTAATCCGAAATTAACAATTTCTAGCTAAATTTAGTATCAAAATCTATAGCATTTAAAAAAAAAAATAATAATTAATATGTAATTAAGTCTGTAGTTTTTATGAAATTCATTTATACATTTATATACCCATATGTTTGTATTAGATTCCATAAATTCATATTTAAAAATCTTAAAATACGAGTAGCATAATATTCGAATGAATAAATAATTTATGTGAAAATTAGTACGCTCTCATTTATTTTTGTTAAGTTGTTATTCCAAAATTATATAGAAAAATTAATAGAAAATAAAATATGATTAAAAAATAATGAAAATTTAAATTTAAAATGTCATCCAAAATTTAAATAATGTTTTTCTAATTAACTTTTTCATATCCTTTCTATACAGATTGCAATTCTACATTGCAATGGAAAAATAGAAAAATTCATTTTCAATTTCAATTTATATGAAATGCAAAACAAATTCTATGAATATTTTTATTTTTTAAAAATTTTATATTTTAATATCGTTCTTCTCTGCGGAAAATAATTTTTTCTTCATATTTTCATTTTTCACGGTGTAAGAAATTTTCTCATTTTCACATTTTTACGAAAAATATAAAAAAAATTTAATAAAAATTATTCATTTCAAAGGAATTTCTCCCTGTTTTTGTTCTTCAATAGCATTTTAAGATATAAAAACAAAAAACTGTAAGAACAAAACAAATAAATTCAAAAGGATATTCAAATTATTTTCATTTCTTTCATTGTAATGGCAGGTTTTATTTTATATATACTAATGGGTTTATCATGGAATTTGAATTTTTTTGTTTTGCTTAAGAAGAAATAAATGCAATCTAAAACATTATTGAGCAATGAATTTTTCTCGTTCTGTTTTATTCTATATAGTGAATTAATATTTAAAATAAAAAAACAAATTTAATATTTTTTGCAACTAATTTTTTTCCTTAAGAATTTATTATTCTTTGCTATATACTTTGGACAATATATAATTATCGCCCCGTTATCGCTTTTGTGTACTTTGTAAAAGGTTAAATTATAATAATGATGAATTTTCAGAGTTTTTATTATATAATTTGGATTTGATTATTGAGCTCTTTTCGGTATTTAATGATAATTTAAGGACAATTAATAGATAAAACTGCAAATTATTTCGAAATTTCATATTTGTTGAAAAACTCAATATGGTTTCAATCAAATTTTATCTCTATCTTGATTATTAAAACAATGTAGAATATGCTATAGAATCTACATCAAAACGAATGCCTAAAATTAAAAACAACAATACAATAAATTTAAATATTATAATTTTAATTTTATTTCCTTGGAATAAATTATCCCTTATATAATAAATGTCCTAATCTAATTAATAATACAAAGAAAAATTTCATTATATGAACAAAATATTATCAAAATTTAATTTTGATTCAAAAATCATCCGAGATCATACCTAACACCATTTTATGGTGTTTTATAACCATTAACCATTTTATGGTAATTTTTAAAAATTTATTAAGTCTATCCCTTTTTATAATTTTAATAAAATTTAATAAATATTATGGAAATATATTAAAATAATTAATAAAAATAAAAAAAAAAAAAAACTATAATGGAACATATCGTTTTTGTGGAAATTTTGAAGCTTGTTTCAATTCTTTTTCCTCTTCAGCAATTTTATTTTGAATCCATTGATGAGCAGCACATATAAATATTAAAAATGCCAAAATTAATACAGTTAAAAATATTCCAAATGAAAAACTAGCAGATTGAGCCGCATATTCATCCTCTCCTATTTTCACATGAAATATTCGAAAAGACAAAAAACAATTAATTTCAAATGTATCCAATTTAGAATTATTTAATTTTATATGTAAAATTAATATTTTTAATTAAAACTATAAACTATATTTTTAGAACCAGTATTTTAATTAACCAAAATAGTTTATTGGATTTGATAAAATGGCGGACATCATATTTGAGCGGACACTATATTGGACTCAATATTTTAATATTCTACAGGAAAATGTTTAAAGAGCTATAGGATTTATTAAAAAAAAATCATATTATGTACATATTATGAATGCTACATATGAAAATTTTTTTTATACATAAATGGTAACTTAAAAAAATTTAACAGAACTCCTGAAGATTTGATCAACAAAATTTTTATTAAAGAATATTTTTATCTTAACTGCATGAAAGTTTTAAAAGTCGATATATATATTTAGCAATTCTTAGTGATTTTAGAATAAAAGAATTTATTTAGAATAAAGAAAAAATTATAGTTTCTAAAATGTTGCCAACAAACAACAATTCGTAGAGTTGTTGTGAACAATTTCTTAAACTCTTTTTAGCAAACAGACAGTAATCAAATAATTTTTCTCAATAAAACAAAATAAATAAACAATTTTATTATTTTCATATTAATTCAATAATATTAACATATTTTCATATTTTCAAAATCCTATGCTCTTTAAAATATGGAACAGGCATTATTTTAGCTGTTAAATAGCATCCTTATGTAAAAAAAAAATAAAACCTGAATTGAAAATTTCTAAAATTAAAATAATAAGAGTTTAGTAAAATATGAAGAAGAACAAAAATGCAAAATTTATTTTAATTTTTATTTATTTAAAAAAAAAACCTTATTCTCTATTAAAAAAAGCTCAAGAAAAACAAATTTTTTTTATTTTTAATGTAAAATGACTTTAAAATTTCTGTTAGTCGTAAATTTTTAACAGACAACATATACAATACAATTACTATTTTTTTTTTAAGAATGTTATTAATTAATAATGGTTATGATTTAAAATTTAATTTAATTGTACTTTTAATACTAAATTTAAAAAATCATTTGAAAATGAATTTCACAAAATTTGTATAAAAATTTTGCAAAATATGAATTTGTTATATAACGTTAATAAAGGTGTTAATTATATTTCTAAATTGGCTACAAAATTTTTAAAATTTGTATTTAAATAGTCATGGTCGAACCATTGCATTGCTTAAATAAAATTGATTTTCTAGAACATCTATTTTAAGGAAATTTTTGAAGAAATCTGGTTAGTAAAAGTTTTAATGTTTAATGTTATTATAAAATAAATGTAAAATTAGTAAAAAAATTTAATTAATACATAAACTAAAAACTCTTGTTTTAAAATTATGACAAAATGTTTAACAAGCTTTTTTGAGCTAAAAGCAAAAATTCATAACTATATCGGGGGAAGAGTATATTTCCCACAAGTTAGTATCATTTTGCTATTGTTAATAGGAAAAACAAAACATTTAATTACCATTGAAGCAGTTTTATTACAAGAAGAAAATTAGAAAAAAATTAAAGTTAAATAAAATTACTACGCCTATAAATATGCAGTTTTTTTTTTTTGTTTTTGTTATAGAATTTTAAACCAATTTCATTTAAAATTAATAATTTATATTATTGTACTCTCAAAAGAAAATTTACATATTAAAACAAATACATACAATATGAAATCTCTAAACATATAATAGACAATATTTTCTTAAAAATGAAAATTATGGTACAGATTAAAATAAATGAAAAAAAAAAACTGTATAATTATTAGAAATGAAATATATACCAATAAATTTTTTATAAATTACAAATATAAATGTATATAAAAATGTTAAAGAACAAATGAAACTATGTATTTAGAAATATATAATGTGTTTTTATAGATTAAACTTCAGTTGATCTTTGATTCGGTTCACTCGGTGATGGTAATCCAATTGTTTGTGAAAGCGGTTGAGCTGATGGTGTTATTGGTGTTGCTGGTGCTGGTCTATTATAAAATACATTACTATCATGTATGGTACCAGGTATGGGAGATATTGGTGTTGGTAAGACTTTAACACCAGAATAACGTATTGGTTGAACTTGTGCTGGTGGTAAACCACTATTGCTACTCGCCTGACTATTTCTTTGATCAGCAGCACTAAATGTTGGACTATATTGTTGTGATAAAACCGGTGAAGTTGGATAAGATGGTTGATCATCAAAAGTTGGACCAGTACCAGCTCCACCAGCATCTTTATTTTCTTCAGCAATAATATCATCTTGTAATCTAAGTGATCTTCTTCCCAATTGCCTCTGTTGTTTGTCACCAGTTGAAGCAGCACCTGTTTTATTAATATATTCAATATCCCTTGCGATTTTAGCATTATTCAATTCACTACCACCTTCTGATGATGTGAATTCATCATCTTCATCCAGTTCCCATTTTTTTTCTGGAAATTCAGCATTAGGTTTACCATGTAATGGCTCATGTGTACGATATACTCTTTCATAAGACCTACTTTTTTTTAATGTATCCTGATCAGTTGTGGTATCACTTGCATCACTATTCATATGCCTTAAATTTGATTTAGATGTTGATCTTGATCTTGGTAATGTTGATGCCAATTTGAAATCTGGATCTTCGCGAAGAGCACGTTTGCGATAACAATAAACACCACAAACAATGCATAACATAATGGGTGCTATTACAGCCAAAATAATGCCTGTTGCTATCCATGCTGTCTGTCTTGTATAGTAAACTTCACCTGTAGTTTTATTTGACAAAAAAAGAATTAAATATTAATTTACGTTTAATCCGAACTCGAAAATTAAAAAAAAACACGCTTCTGAAAAATGACGAAATGAAGAATTTTTTTTTTAATTCAAAAAGACTTTTTGAATTCAAAAAAAAAAAAACTAATTAACTTACGTAGACACTCTGTATAACCAGCTACAGGAACATCCCATTTACCATTAGCTAAACAAGTTCTTCTCTGATCACCTGTTAAAACAAAACCTTCATTGCAAGCAAATGAGACTTGAGCGCCAGGCTTGAAATCAAAGCTTAATTTTCTACCAAATCTTGGAGTTTCTAAACGTCCGCAAGAAATTTGTTCCCTAAAAAATATTTTGGTAAATTATTAAGAAAATTATTAGCAAATTTGTTCATTAGAAAATTAATAAAATTGTTATTTGAAATATTTAAAAAAAAAATATTATCTTCAACCAACTCTGCATTTAAAGTTTTTATATTAACGGCACTAGCATGATAATTTCGCGTAAAATGAGCCATGTCCCTATCAAGTGTCATTCCATAATCATATTTGCATTGATAATTGTCTCCACACAATTCTTCAGCTCTTTCTATATCGTACGAACGATTTGTTGGCAGAAAATCTTTTGGATCTCTTACATAATTCGGTATGAAACTCTCATTCGAGAAATGGCTTGCAGCACGTGAATACTCTCGTGTGAATAATGCGGCTCCAACACCTGGTATTTCTTGATCGGCTAACATCCATTTTTTTCCAAATTCTTTATGAATATTTTCGAAATTATTTAAATTTACAGCAACCACTCGACCATCCGGTAAAGTAAAATCATCATTGGGATCAAAACTCCAATTTCCAAATAATCCACTTGTCTTATTCTGAAAATTAAAAAAATAATTAATATTGTATGCGGAAATAATCGGTTATTTAGTAACATAAAACTAAAATCTTAAACTTACAATAAACGACCATGGTGCATAAACTCTAGCAGTCATAAAACCTGAGTTTTCAATTACTTCTACTCCTACACCTGATGAATACATAATAATAACCTCGGACTGATTTAAAATGTATGTAGGTGTATATACTGTTACACCATGAAAATACTGGAATTTCAAACTTGGTCTATCAAAATAAATTCTTTGGCCATCAGCATACACATCCAATCTGTAACGCCATTGAGCTTGCGGTGGTCTTAATTTAACTTCAATGACAGTTGTTGTATTACCACGAGTAGCTACTGATGTCAAATGTGTGGCTTGTACTTCTCCATGCACATTATTAGCAACCCTTTCAAATCGACCCTGTACTTCGAATTTTTCTCGCCCATCATTACCTCGTGCCAAAACAAATTCACCCATACCATTAAATGTATATGGCAAGTTATCGAATGTAACAAAATGAGGATCGCCAAAAACAGCTGCGACACCTGGTGATTGATAGGCTACACAATCTTGAGAAGGTCTTCTTTCAAAACGCAAAGTTTCACATCCAACTGCCTGTTCATCTTGCCAATAACAGCAAGAGAAAAATGGTCTAATATCTTGGAACCATTGGGATAATGTTGGAACCTTACCAGCTTCATTCCATGGCATTTTACCAACATTATGTGCTCGCTTTGGTCTTGCGCCATACATTACATCGTATGATAAAATAAGACTGCCATAACGATCGTAACAACATTGTTGTTCAGAGCCCTGATCGCTATAATAAAATAACATACAATTAGAACATAAAATTTAATGTAAAGTAACTGTTTTTCAACTTACCTAGGTTGTCCACTTCGAACACAGTGAACCGCTTGTTGATTTAATAAACATGTTGGATTAGAATCTTTATCACAATCTGGATCAGGTAAATAACGTCCTTTATCATATAGAGCATGTTCTACTCTACAAGGACATAATGGCAGCTCAGCAACAAAATTACTAAAATTGAATTAAAAATTATATGTACTTCTAAATTGTTGAAAATAAAAAATTTTACCTTAAAAATCTGTCAGTTCGGAACCAATTTTCACACAGAGCTCTTGGCCATTGCCTACCATGTCTTCTTTCCCATTGTGGACCAAAGTACCATCCCAAAGGAATCGGTCGAGACCACAGAACCCTAGTTCGAAAAGAAAATGCTTTAATTTTTGAAATGATAAGTTTCAAACGGTACAGAAAATAGAAAAATATCACCATTTAATTTGCTTAATAAGACAAACTAACTGAATAGGCAATTATCAACTTACGGTGATAATCTCAATCCTTCATACGATTCAGGATTTGTTAAGTTTATTTGAAGAAAACCAAATTGCATATCAATATTTTTCGGATTATCACGAAGTCGATAATTTGCTGGAGAAATGGTATATTCACCAGTATTTCTCACAGCAGTCTCAAGGATATCAATGTATTCCAATCGTGGTCTAAAAGAAGAAAAATTTTAGAAAATTCATAAAAAAGTAACATTATATCTTACTTAATTGTCGCTTCAGAGTATCCCCAAAGTGATATTTGAACATTTGAATTTAAATTTGTTGTTAAATTCATAGCAGTCCACTGAATTTTAATTTCTCTTGGCATTTTTTCATATACACTGCGATCAACAAAGAAAATTTTTTCAATTGCAGTTGACGGTGTTTCTGTAAAATAATTCAAATTTCAATAAAGTTTAAGATTTTCATTTGCAACATTACTACTTACCAACAAAATATTTTCCTCTCCATTTATAACGTTCATTACCAACTGATATTTCAAAACGCACGTAACCTTGTGCTTTTAAGAATGGTTGAACACATATTGCTCGGTTACTATCAACAACTGTTGCTACAACATCCTCTGTATCAAAATGACAAACAACACGTTGCGACTTATCAAAGCAAGGTCCAGTAATATTAACAACAGTTCCACCCAACATATTTCCGGATTCCGGAGCGAAAACCAAAGGTAAATGTGATCCGTCTAAAATTATATTTTAATAATAAATTGGAATCACGTTTACATAAATCAAAGGTTGTCACAAATTTTTATAAATAAATTTTGACATAATAATTCCTTTCATAACTAAAACTTTCATTTTACAATAAATCTTGCTTAATCACATTATATAATAAAAAATGGAAAATTTCGAAGATAACGTTGATGTTGGCAATGAAGTTAATAATAAAGAAAGCTTGTCTGAAGAATCAAAAATAACGCTTACAGCAAGTGAAGATTTAGAAAAAAATGAACGAATTAGTGATAATAGTGATCATCTAAATGATACTCTTAGAAAAGGTAAGCATTTATTTGCAGAATTATCGAAACCAGTTAGTTTAACTAGAATTGAAAAAAAGATTAGTATTGAAGAGAAACGAAAGCAACGGGAATTGAAAAAAGTAGAACATAGTGTGTTGAAACAAAAAGATGACGAAAATGAAGAATCTAAGACTGAAATCATTATACATCGAGAAGTAGGAGAAATAGATCCATTTATAGCAGATCCATCGAAAGATGTTGATGATCAAATCGAATTAAAATTCGAAGAAGGAATAGAAGAATCAATTAATTTTAGCAAGTGTGAATCTATGGTGGTACAACCACCACTGACAGTTGAGATATTTGATATTAATATTTTGGAAACAGTAGAAAAACAAGAAGAGTTTGATTTAAGTCAAGAATGTATTGAAGAAATCGATTACTCTCCAACAGAATTGCTAAATAATATAGTTGACACTGCTGTAGAGCAAGCTGAAAATAATCAAACTGACTCAAAATTTTTCGAAAATAAAGTTGATCGTGATAATTTAATTAACCGCTTCATCCAAATTCATGACGAAATAATTTACCAAAGTAATAGAAATCAGTTCTTAGATCAAGCTTTGTTTGATTATTTCCGCCGCAAGAAATACACTAAAGCCCTTATTCCAGATAATCCCGAAAAATTACAAAATAATCTCGCTAGGTATGAAAAGAGTCTACTAGATTTGGATGACATTTTAAGTCGAAATGATAGACTAACAAAAGAAAAATCTGAAAAATTTGACGAATTTTTGAAAATAAAACAAGATATCGAAAAAAAAATTGAAGAAGAAACTCTCAATTTAAAAAAACTAATTTTAGAAAGCGGTCAAATAACATATAATGACCATACAGGAAAATATTTAAATAATGAAATTATTTCAACCAATATTTCGAAACTTTTTAAAACTTGGGAAGATATGAATAACCTCAAATTTGAAACAATTTACGCGGAATATAAGAATGCTTCATATGAAAAAGTAAATATGTATTTAATTTAATTATGATTACAATTATTAACTCTATGTTTTAATTTTATAAAGGAAGTTGAAGATCTTGAAAATATTGCAGAAGGATATAAGTTAAGCACTTATGAAGTTTTGCGAGCAGAAACTGAAATAGCTGAGAAAACATTGCAAGGTAAATTTGAGCTTCTACAAAAAGTTATTTGATTTTGGCAAAAAGTGGCGATAAATAAACAGAATTTTTAAAATTAATTGTAGCGTCATACAATTTAACATTCATATGCCCAAATTTTCATGTATCCAATTACTTAGAACTTATATTTTTAGATCGAAATACCGAAATATTCCATAGTAAGGCACAATATGATAAAATTATAAAAATTATAACTCAAATGCGAGAAAAAATTGATATTTTACAATTAAAAATCAAGACGAAGGTAACTAAATTCAATGAGGTTAAAGCAAAAAATCAAGCTGTTAGAGAACTTTTAGCAGAATTACGATGTCAAAAGAATAAAGTACGAAAGAGATATAATAAATTAGTTTGGGAAGCGGGTTTAAGAGACAAACCAGCTTTATTACACGACTATGATAAAACGGTAGAACAAATTAATCAAATTTCAAAGAACATTGCAATATTGGAAGAAGAAAAGAATACGATTGAAGAACAAATTAAGAAATTAACAAAAAGAAGTAATTCGAAATTTGTTCACTAAAAATAAAAATCAAATAAATTCAAAAATCTAGTTATCTTATCGGAAGCTCACACTTAAGGAAACTAAATTAGTCCTAGCTTCATTGACATAAAATTATTTCCAGTGAGATAAATTTTAAAATTTTTAGAAACTTCTTTTTTGAAAATTTATGTAAATATTATTAATAGTTGCTTCATAAATTTCCATTATGTTCATTAAAATCCTGTAGCTAACGCGAACTTTGTCAAAAATCTATAATATGTATTCCTTATAATTTTTCTTTTCATATAAACTTACCAATATCTTTATTACATGTTCCTAACATAATTTTTTCATCTATACGGAATATATGACGCCCAGGGAAACCATTTGCCCAACCTCTTCCAGTTAGATCTCTTAAAACTGAATTCTGACTATAAGGTTTGTATTCATAAGATCTTGTTCCATTACCAGCATTAAAACCAATCTAATATAAAATTAAATATCAAAAATTATTCAGAATAATTATTAAGATTACCAAACATTTTTTAACAACATGAGCAATAATAAAATCTCATTAATTAAAGAAAAAATATTTTTGACTTACATAAGCTGGAGTACCACCTTCTCCTAATGTTGTATCACCTCCTGCTTCGGTGTGTGATGACCATGTAATTGTTGCATAATTAAATATAGCATAAGTATAAACTTCATCTGTTGCTAATACTACTTGGAAGGAATTTGTCTGAAAAAAAAAACATTTAGATCGTAAATCAAAGGACATTAAAAAAGTTTGAACTTCTTTTTCTTATTTAATTTACTTACAGTATACAATGAATTATCAATTCCACCAGCAAATGACATATTTTTCCATGTTGTAATAATTACATGTTTTGGTATAAAAGTATCAGCACCAACTACACCTTGTCGAATATCCCACATGGTACGTTCTCTTACCTCAACACCCATACGATCTGTACGTGTCATTAAATCACGCTCCAACCTTAAAGTAAAATAAAAATTCGACAAAAGTCAGAAATTGTTTCATTTTATATTTTAAAGTAAATTCACACACAGTCTGTTTGTGCCTATTTAAGTCACAAAATTTTTCAAATAAATTCTATGATTCATTTATTTCTTCTGTTAATCAACCCACCTAAAATAAACACCTGGTTCTCTTTGATCATACTCATTTGGATAAATTCTTCCAATACGACATTTCGAGAAAAATACACCAATAAACGATGGATCATTCTGTTTTGGCCAATCTTTTATTGGAAATACCAATGGATATGTATAATGTTTTGGTGGATCTGAAAATTCTAAATATCCATTCATTGAAATCTAAAATAAAATTGAAATGAAATTTTTTTAAATTTTATACCAAAAAAAAATTCATGTGGTAGTTACTTACTCTTGTGTAATTAAATCTAAATCCAAAGAACGGAAGTTGAAAATTAAAATTTTTATGAACTTGTGATATTGATGAATGAATATCCTTTTGAAAATCACCACGTCCTTGATTTTGATCTTTATCAAAGAACCAATAAAAGAATTCTTTACGAATTTCTTGTAAACGTTGTGGTGTTATAACATAACCGCCTCTTGGATCATGTCTTGGTGGTTCAGATGGTGCTATACGATTATTTGGATCTAAAATATATAAAAATCGATTTTTATTAATTACATACGAATAATGTAACAGAATAATAATTTTATATACTTATAATTATTTTCAAAAAAGGAATACTTTCAAAAAGCGTAAAATAGTAGTATTCAAACATTAGAAGAAATACACAACAACACAACTTCGACTAGATAAGAAACAAGCCCACTCATCACTAACACATGTAACATATAGTAAACTAAAACCTCCAAAAAGGTTATAAATGGAAATAAAAAGGATCAGGAAAGTATGGGCGACCAATTATTCAATTACAAAGAATGAAAAATTCCCAATTTATTTTCATGAATACCAAATACGAAACTATTTCTCAAAATTTTTAAATAAACAAAATGTCAAACAAAACAAGTTTACTGTGAAATTAAAACAGCTTGTGCAGTGTGAACCAAACGAAAACCAGTCTGAATAGGAAATTGAATTAAAAGATTACCAAGTTAAATCAAGGGATAAGGAGACTACATTTACTTTCCTTAAATGAAACATTTTTGAAATTCAAATATTATTAGTCTAATTAAGATTTTGCAACATTAATGTGTGTTTACATGCATATGTACATATAGTATCTAAGTACGTATGTATATATTGTAAACTTATTTCATTTGAGTGTTTGTGTAAAGGGTATAACATTTAATTTTTTAGTAAAAATTTTAAGTGATTTTATTTTTCAAGAAGAGGTAAGTGGACAAAAAGGTTAACTAACATTTTTATGAAAATCGAGCTTTTCGGATAGAACATCATTAAATTTTATATATTTTCAACTGTAATTACTCTCATAGATAGAAACTTAATAGAAAACAAGATTAACAGTACACATTCGAGTTTAGTAACAAAAAAATTAATATTTTTACAATTTGTTAATGAAAAAATTGTCAGATTGCAAATGTAGGGTAACTCCTTTGTCCACTCACCGCTTCAATTGATTTCGAATTAGTAAAATTTAAAAAAATTTATCGAACAATCATAATGTTTCATAGCTAATCAAAACTCGGAAAAGTCTAAAGCGAAATATTCACCCTAGTTTTATAATTACTCGTAAACTGAAAAAATTTTGCTTTAATTCTAAATATTATTCATTTATGTAGGTATGTATGTATGTATTATAAATAATATTATAGATAAAAATATAATTAAAATGACTAATTAAAATTATATCGAGCTCATAAAAATTAAAATTTAATAAATTAAATACCTATGATTTTTTGTTCAATAAAACTTTTTTAATCTTATCTTATATGTATGTATGTGTACTGTAGACCTGTTTACATATTACCTGTTACTTTATTTATTTTCTCTAAAATTCTATTTGTTTACAATAAATAAATTCACAATAACATTTCATTTAAACATTCACATAAAATGTGAATTAATATTTTACAATACATAGTAATTATAACTTAATATAACACTTACATATGGCAGCCATTTTGAATATTCCTTCTTTGTTTTGATTTTTTATATTGTAGACATACATATGTATGTATATTGTGCAAATGTACAGGTGTTAATAAATAATAGATAAGAAAAGAATGTAGAGTAAAGCTTACAAGAAAAAGCATAAAATACACCGAACATAATTAAACACTTGCCCAACACACATGATGCATGCACACAAAGTAAACACATTCTGACAAACATGCAAACGTAATTAACAATTAGTTATTCAGACAATGGTATTAGTCACTATATAAGAGTAAAATAACGGCAAGTTGAGTTTTCATTTACTTAACTTCACCTAATTTTTAAAAAAAATTGAATTTTATCTTAGAAACTATATGAACGTTACGAAATAAGCCCAGTTATTTACTTAGTACACTAACAATTTTTCATATTCTTATACAGATAAGATAAATTAAAAAAAAAATAGATACCGTATACCTGTAACTACTATTATTTTAAATAAATTATGTTACACATTAAAGTAGGGTTAGAGTAGAGATAACTTAAGTTTTTATATATTTTTATACCATGCACCTTCGTATTAATTTTGGTACGGAGTTTCTAACCACTTGAAGGAATCATTTGTATTATGGATATGTATATACTCGTATTATATATTCTTGCTCAACGTAAAATTCAGAGTTAATTTAGAGATGTTCGTCCGTCCATCCAATCGTGCGATAACTCAAAATCGAATAAAGTAAATAACACCAAGTTTTCACAAGTTGTCTCTTTAGTGCCAAGGACCTTATTGTAATTGGATCAATTTGGGTTCTGGTAGCTGTCGTACAACTCAAGAAGATTATTTAACCCCAAAAGCTAACTGCCTTGCAACCCCAAAAACTAATTTTAAATATACTGAAAAATAATAAGGTTAAATTCATGAAACTTGGTAGTCATTGATTCAATTATAGGTCAGACATATCCGTGTAGTTTTTGTGGAATGGTTTGACAGAAACTGCCATACAACTCGGAAAACTAATTACTTGTAAAACCAATTTTTATACTTTGGGTGTCAAGGTGTAGGGTAGAATTCTATAATCTAAGCAATTTTTGAATTTCAAAATTATAAAAATCTTCATTTGGCTTCGTGTATATAACAGGGAATGAGAAACTTTGTAATTGAATAGAATTATGAATTCATTTAAAGCATAACTTCGCAATTAATCGACATACAATAAGCAAATTTTGTCAGAATAAGCACAGCTAAAAAGAATTCGAATCTATTATTAAAACGTAAAAGCCAAGGAATTTGATTTAGAAAGTGTTTGCTAGTAACTATAAAATAACCTTATCCATAGGATTGTGTAACAATAATTTGTTTTGGATTTAGGTAAATTAATTTTATGAATATTTGTTAAATTTGAAGTTCTTGTTCAAATTTTGAGTTGACTACCACCCAACTTCAGTATTTTCTGAAGTTTTAAATTAAAATACATAGGTAATTATGAACAAATTGTCTAATTTTTTAATAATCAATACCTTAAACATTTATAACGAGAATAGCAATAAAACACTTTCTTTCAAAATATGATGAAATTAGTATACTTTAAAAATCTGTTTGCCTCTGAGAGTAAATTAACAAAGAAAAATATAAGTTATAAAACAATGTTATGTGTTTGTATGTATACATAAAATAGGTTTATAAGTACCGGTAATTTGAATCCGTTGCATAAACAACAGTTTTAGAAAGCATTTGCAATTCCAAAATCCAGATTTTTTAATTAAGTAAACAAGAAAATTTAATTTTGGATCCTATTATTATTATTAATTTCACATTAAATGAAATGCACACTGTATTTACATACATATGTACCTATATGTACGTATGTATATATATTTTTTAGAAAAAGTATTAATCACTTTTTATTTATCATTGATTATTGTTCAATAAAAACTTCGATAGCACAATCTCAACAATTTCTTATCAATATTCAATTTATATTTATTATTAAATATTGTTTAGCTGAAAAGAAATAAATAAATAATTATTTATAATCTATGACTGTATATTTAAGTCTCGCATATTTACAAAACCTATAATCATAATTGTACATACGCAAATATTCTATTAATCAAATTATAAAAGTGAAAAACACATTGTATAAATAATCACCTTAAAAATCTGCCAAACCCAATTTTAATGTAAAAATCATACATAAAGTATGTATGTATGTAGGTTTATATATTTGGGCTAGTGTATTATTATCTAAAGTCAAGTTTAGTATGTTATTTTATTTATTTTTGATAAGAAGGTAAAAAAAAAAGGTGAACTGAGCACTTGACCACAGTTAAATAAAAAAAGTAAAGATTTTTGAACGAAACCAAAAAAAAAAACGAAATTATTTCTAATATAACACGTAATTCAAAAAAATTTCAAAAATTAGAAAGGCAAAATAATAAATTTAAAACACTGGTTATTGGGTACTCATAATAACCTGAGTTGGTGAGCAGAACTAAAGCGCAAGGAGTATAATTAGGAATTTTAAAAGAACTGTGAACTCTGTACTTGATTTCGGAGAACCTCTTAAAATAAATTCGTTGTTGTACTACTTACATATATTTCATCAAAAATTGTTAGCTATAAAATATCTAGTTGACGAGTCGTGAGTATAATATAAATCACATACTCACCATCACATAATTAAATTATATGAATATATATACTCACCCCAGTTATATCCATCCGGTGCTATATCATAATTTTCACCATAATCAATTAATTTTCCTAATCTTGGTACACTAATATTATTATTTATATTATTATCACTTATAACTGGAATTATATCATGATTTTCATCATTTATATGTGGTGAAACAATTATATTTTCATCATCATCAGTATCTGGTACTTCATTTTCATAATCCATATCCGTATCCATATCATAATCATTTTCAATATGAATATTTTTTTTATTTTCAGTTTTATTAATATTATTTTTTATTTTATTTATACCAATAACATCTACATCTTTAATAGGATTTTCAATAATTAAATCATTATTTTTTCCTATTTTACTAAATTCATTTAACGTTATACCATCATTATCACTGATGATGTCATTCGATATTACAATTTTATTAGTTAATCCACAAAATAATAGAACACTTAAATATAATTTTAAACGCATTTTGTTAGATTTATAATAACATTAATTATATAATAGACTAAAAATTTTTTTAAAATTTAAAATAATTTTTAATAATTAAATATGAAATTATTATTTTAATAAATTAAAAAATCATATTTTTTTAATTTTTAATTTTTAGTTCGGTATTAATTTTAATTCTGCGTCCGATAAGTTCAGGGCGTTGACGATGAATAAAATTATTTTTAATCATTTATTAAATACACCTGTACTTAATTTTAAAAATTTTAGTAATTCTTATCTAAAAAAAATAGAGAGAAATGGATACACATTGGGACATACAGTGTCTCACAGTGAAAATGATGCAAGAAAAAAAATTTCGTTTTAGATAAAAAATAAATATAATGTTTTGAAAATTATTACTTTTTATCATTGATTCTTAAAGTGCATTTGATTTCTAAGATAATAAAGAAAAAAAATATTTCATTACAAAAATAACAACAAGAATAACAACAAAAAATGAAAAAAATGTCCAAAATTCATCTCACAGTGAAAATGATCCAAGCGGTAAAATTTTATGTAAAAAAGAGTTCTGCCCTTTTTGGAGCCATTTTTTTTTTGTATTTATGTAAGATTCGATATTGATCCTTTATATTTAGTGTTTTAATAAGTTAAGCTCTAATTAAAAATAAAGTAGATTGGGTATTTTACATAATGGGTAAACACGCTAATTTTAAAGAAAGAGAATTGATATTGCATCATTTAGGAAATGGCAAGACCCAAAGAGAAATAAGTGAAATTATGAACAAACCACGCTCAACTATCCAACATATCATTGAAAGGTATGAAAAGGAGAATAGAGTGGTAAGTAAACAAAAATGCAGCTAAAAAAAAATCTTCAACTCTACAGATGAAAGGTCGATATTATGGAAAGTCCGAGAAAACCCGAAGTTAAGTGCACCAAAAATAGCAGCTGAGGCGGAAATGTAATTAGGCAAACAACGCAATGCTGAAACAGTAAGAAGAGTCCTAAGGAGCAATGATTTTCACGGCAGAATAGCAAGAAATAGACCTATGTTGAGAAATCAAAATTTACAATCGAGATTGCAATTTGCTAAAGAGCACATTAACAAAGTTTTTGACTATTGTAGCACTGTGCTGTGTGCTGACGAGAAAAAATTTATTATTTTTGATCAGATGGGAAGATTACTGTGTATAGAAAACCTAATCAAGCCCTTAAAACGTCTAACATTAACAAAACAGTTAAACATGGTGGTGGCCGTGTTTGCGTATGGGGTTGTATATCATCTGCCGGTACCGGAAATCTAAAATTTATCGAAGGTAATATGGATGCAACAATGTATTTGAATATTTTAAAAGAAAATCTTGCAAGCAGTGAAGAAAAATTGGGAATCGGTAGACACTATCAGTGTTACTAGAACAACGATCCAAAGCACACAGCACATAATGTAAAGTCATGGCACCTTTATAATTACCCACATGTCATAAAAACCCCTGCGCAGTCTCCTGATCTTAATGTCATTGAAAATTTGTCGAGTTTGTTAGAACAAGAGGTTCGAAAGCACAAAATTTCAAATAAAAGAGATCTTAAGGCAGCTATACAGGAACAGTGGCAAAAAATTGAACCATCTTACCCCACCAACCTCATTAGATCCATTCCAAAGAGACTTAAAGCTGTCTTAGAAAATAAAGAAGGATCTATAGATTACTAATTTATAATTTAATCATTTGCAATAAGAAGCTAGGCTTTGTAGTTTTAAATGAAATTTCTTTGCATCATTTTCACTGTGAGATGAATTATTGACATTTTTTATGTTTTTTGTTATTATTTTTGTTACAGTTGTTAGAATGAAATAATTTTTTTTTATTTTGTTGAAAATTGAATATACTCTAAGAATGAATATTAAAAAATAATAATTTTAAAACGGTTTTGTCAAATTTTTATTTAAATCAAAATTTCTTTTCTTGCATCATTTTGACTGTGAGACACTGTACATACAATTTTTATAAATATTTTGATATCTTATCATAAAAGAAAATTATTTTAGATAATTTAAGCTTTTTGTTTCATACACATATAGATACATACATTTGTTAAAAGAATTTGTAAATAAATCGAGTTTTAAATCTATATGAGATATTCAATTAAAAACTCTCGGATTCTATAATTTCATATAAAATTCATCACATACAAAATATATGAAAATGTTATTGTATGATAAGAGAAACTGTGCAATTTTATGATAAGATAATAAATAAATAAATATATATATATATGATAATATAGAATAAATCATTAATTAAATTCTGAATCGCTATTAAAATTCACATTTATTATAGATATATGAATATCGCTAATCCTGACTTAAAAACGAGGGAAATGGGGTATTATAGAGAAATAGAATAGTAACATTATACTTTAGGGAGAGAAGCCCCAATGAACTTAATGGAAATCTCATTATTTATAATATTATTATTAAAAAATAAATGATATATAGAATTCCTAAGGAAATGATTAATATAGAGAAATAATTAAAACACTTATATAAAAAATTCCCTATTAAAGCATATGAATATTATTTTTGAAAATAATCGACAATTAAATTTCCCGAAACTAAATTGGAAAAATTAAATATTTAGATTAAGTTAAATAGTTTTCCAAATTTCTTTAATCTAAAATAAATAAAAATATATTTTAGAACTAAAGAAATTTAGTTCAACAAACCAACTTAGAAATTTTGACGATTTTCACGAAAGAATTCAAACCACGCTCTAAATGGGTCGGGAGTAGAACTATAAATTTTGTCTCGAAGAGAATTACAAAAAAATAATGTCAACTTCCTTTTATTATTCTATAATTTTTGGTCTACATAAATACATGCCATATGTTTTCCTACATATTACAGAATTTCATCAAAATAAGAAATACATTTTTTCGGAAAAAAGTAACTTAAGATTATCTAGTTGATAACTGCAAAGTCTAGGAACAAGAAATTTTGAACTCGGAAATTTTATTAAGTTTATTTTATAGAGTAATTAATGATAACATATTCAAAGCCAAATTTACTGAATTTTTACGAGTAAATAACATTATTAAAATACCCATTAAACAACATACCCATTAAATAACATTATTAAAATTTTAAAAAATGCAACAAAGTTCTTATAATAGCCATATAGTTGTATTATATGGCATACATACATACAAATTATTTAATTAAATTAATCACTTTAAAATCACACTCATTTAATCAACAAATATCAAATTCAATGGAATTTTATGATTCATATTACAGTAAAAATATTATAGATTATATGAATCTTGATTTCTCATTCAGTAATATAATAAAAATAGATAATTTTTACAAATAAACAAAAATGATTCATGAAAATCATTTTCACTTGAATGAAAACTTTCAAAAAATAATAGTATAAAAGTTTTTTTCTCTTAACACGAAATTTTCTCCTTAATTAAAATGAAAATTTAAAGTAAAGTTTTCTCTATCTAAAATTTTGATTTTAATTTTAAATTAAATAACTTCCTTAAAGAAAAACAAGAAACGAAGAATTTTTCGAGAGTCGATTTCTACAAATTCTCGATTCAAATTTTGTTCCAAATATTGCATAAATTTTGGCTGAAAAAACAATGTTATTGACAATGGGAAATATTTCATTTAATTTTTATTTAATTACTTTCGAGAATCGATTTCTACAAAAATTATTTATAGAAAATTTTTCATTATAACATAAGATTCTTTTACCTATTTAGCAATAAAATAAAAAGCATAAAATGTTATAATTAAAATTTTCTCTTAAAAAAATTTAAAATACTCGTACCTAATCTATAGAGCCGCAGTTCTCAATCAAAATACTGCAGTTTCTTTATACTGCAGTTTCCTTTCGGCTTCTTAGAGCCCCGAAAACCTACCACAATGTTTTCAAGCAAAACGATACCATATTAAAAATAATACTATTAAAATAATTTAAAAGAAGTAAAAATAGAAATAAATTTGAAATTATCGGGAGAATCTTTTTCGCAACTCTTGAGATTCTTTATAAGAAGGTTGATTGGTTTCGGAAGGTAGTTTGAAGATTGTTATTTCTTCTCAAGAGTTTGTTTGTTATATAATTGTTGTTGACCTAGTGCGTGGGTGTCGCCTGAGTGGCCAGACTAGGATCCTATCTCTTACAATTATAAGGTTGCGCATAGGTAACTTTCAGCTTCATACCGTTTTCTCACTTAACAAAAAATTTTCCACTATAAATAAGCTTTGAAATAGTTTCGTTTCAAATTTAATTTTATGATTCCTGTTAAAAAGTTTAATTTTCTTACGTTTTATATAACCTAGATATTACGATAAAATTAATAACAAAAGAAATATTTAAGTCAAAAATAGAAAATGCCAATGAATTAAATTTTTTATTTAAAGTATAAACGAATATATTCCGTGAATATGCGAAATTTAAAACAACAGTACTGTGGTTTATAAAAAAATGAAAGTTCCAATTTATTGTGCTTTCCACTTATCAATTTTTGTTTTCACATTAAAGAGTTTTTATCTTTCTACGAAAATGATAAGACCTTAAACTTTATTTCAAAATTAAAATGAATTTCTTCAATGCCAGTGTGTGGATAAAAAGAAAGCAGAACACACACATTTTATTTCGAGTGATCACAATATTTATTTTTAATCGTTAGTAAATTGTGTTTTGCAACTACTTATTGGAAAAATATAAAATTGTTATAAATAAAGATGAACCCAATTTTAAAAATCTTGTATTATTGGGTTTTAATTAGTCCAATATTCAGTATAAGAGCAGAAGTATTGTCCGAATCAGGTATGTATATGTAGAATCTAAATCAGTGAAATTTCTCAAAGAGAACTCGCTAAATTGCAGAATATTCACATACGAGTAGTTTCACATTCAATTTTACATTAGACACTTATTTTACTTGTATATATTACAGCGTTTCATAAATTTATACAAGAAGTTCCTCTAAAGTGCTGTTAAACATTTATCATTTTGAAATTACAATTAATTGTTACAGTTTTCTTCTCTTAAACACTTCTTGGTTTACTTGGAACAATTTAATAACTTATTGATGTTTTAAAAATTAAAAGAAAATTTTTAATATTTTGAATTTAATTAATCTAAAAAATTGCGGATTTGCCAAACTAAAACATTTTTTCAATTAATTTTACGGTACAGATTACCAACTTATTAAACCGAACAAAATATCAAATTTATCTGAAAATTACACCATAACACCTGAACGTTTAAGACAAATTCGTAGTGAATTTCTTTACTGGTTTTTTGATGAACCTGACGAAACTAGTGACTATGAAAGAAGTATTCATTCATCTCAAAAAACATTACATAAAAATTTACACTTTAAACTTCCATTTTTTGGATTCCGGTACAATTATACACGAGTAAGTATAATCAATACCATAATAAATTAGATTTACGATATTTATTATAAAATTATAATAAAATTTTAATTTCAATTCTTATTTAATAAAGATTTCACTGGATGGATATTTAGGATTTTCAGATTTCCCAAAACATTTAATGTATCCTTTAGTGTTTCCAACAAAAGATTGGCCAAAAAATAATGATCCATCATTTATTGGTATATTCTTGTCGAAGTGTCGTATTGGTAGAATTTATCCCAGCGACACTGATCAAAGAATGCCTGGTGTTTATTTCAGGTACATATTTGTAAAATTTCTTTAATATAATTCACAATTGAAAATTCAAAATTCATTTTAGAATTGAATCTAATTTAAATAAACGAACAGATCGTATGGGAGTTGAAATGAGAGAACGTACAATGTGGGATATAAGAGAAGGTATCATTGGTGCAAAAACTTTCGTCCCAAATCATGTTATTATTGCAACATGGAAAAATATTTCATTTTCTGGCGGTATTGATAATTCCTTGTTCAGGGTACAGATTTATTTAATTAATTAACTAAATTGTTTTCTTTAAGGGACTAATTTTCCTATTTTTATTATTTCAGACAAACACTTTTCAAATGATTATAGCTACAGACGAAATATATACTTATGCTATTTTTAATTATGCACAAATAGAATGGGATTCTCATACTGAAGCAGGTGGCTCTGTCGATGTAGGAAAAAATGGTGTGCCAGCATTTGTAAGTCAATTATGAGTTTAAAATTTAAAATTTCAAAAAATACATACATACTTTTTTTTTCTGTCAACATTTTTAAAAACATGTTTTGAAAGGTTGGATTTAATGCCGGAAATTCAACAAGATCATTTACATATAAACCATATAGTCAATCGACTGCTATAGAAAATTTAACTAAGGAAGGTTGGGGTAATGGATTTCCGGGACGTCATATATTTAGAATTGATGAAAAAATTACATTAGGGGCTTGTGCCAATGTTGAATCCTTATGTATGTGCACTTTAAAGAAGAATTTTTTAAAAAATTACTTTTTAATTTTAGTTTACTCTCTAGAATTCTTAAGAATATTTTAAATTTCAAGTTTGAATTCAATTGATTACTAACAGATTACCCGTCTACTATGCCGTTAACGTTCTCACCAGAATCTGGAATTATGCTTGGTGGAAATATTGTTAATATAACTGGTCCATGTTTTGATCCATCACACCGTATCACTTGCTACTTTGATACCGAAATGGTACCTGGATTTATAATCAACAGATATCGAGCTTTTTGCATCCAACCAGCTCTTAAAGTAACAGGTTATATTAATCTTCGTGTTTCAGTAAACAATAATGTACAACGACGATGGATAGGAAAATATTTTGTTGGTAAATAAAAAAAAAAATTTTTTAAGAATTTTTATTTAATTTGTTATAATTATGTGATTGCAATTTTTTTTTAATACAGAAGCACCATCTATGGCAACTGAAAATATTTATTTCTCTAACAACAATATTTTTACGAAATCTCCAGAAGAAATTCAAATTAAATGGTATCCTTCAAATTTAGCAACAAATGCAAATTCAATTGTACAAATTTCCATTTGGGGATACTATGAAATAGGGAATCAGTAAGAAGCAATTACAACACAAAATTTGTATTCTATTTTATAATTTAACTTATACAATTTATATTTTTAGTCGTCATTTAACTTTCGTTGATGTTATTGAAAGTTCAGCACCTAATACCGGAGAATACACAATTACTCCAAAGGACTTCCGTTCACGAAATAATTTTGAACACAGTCATATAGAATTTGGCTTTATACAAATAAATACTACAAATTCAATATTCACACCGTAAGTGCGATAATTATACAAACATAATCTTAGACAATAGCCTTTAAGAAAGTGATATTATGACCGATAAATGGAGTTATTTTCAAACTGATGAAAATTTTAATGAATGTTAATTTAAAATTCCCTAACTATTCTATAAGAAAGCGATAGGAGAACACTCGTAACGTAAATATAAGTAATTCTTTATGATTTCAAATGATTATATGCGAGATTAAGGCTATTCATTATGCTCAAATATTATGCTATAACCTTGTTATAATTGGATAAGAACATAAATTTGTAGTTTATTATTACAAAAAATTAATGAACCTTTTGTGGTTTTTAATATTTTTAAATATATTCTGGAATTTTGCTTCAGATCTGATCGAAAATTTTGTAGTCAATTAAGAAATAGAAACATTTGCAAATTTTGTCTTTTTGTTGTTAAAATTTGTAACATGACCTCTTAACTCACAGTCACTCCCTGCTTCTCTAACACTCATTTTGTCCCAATTAATAACAAATAATTTTTTTAAATTTTATCTTTTTCTTCAAACAGAACATTTTGGTCTAGACCGATTCCTCTTGCATGGTATTTCAACCCACAATGGGAAAGAATGTATGGAACAGATTGGGCAAGCTATTTGTGTAATAAATGGTTTCAATTTGAAAGACCTGATGGGTAAATTATTCTTTTATTTTGAAAATTATTTTATTTTAACTGATTAAATGAAATATTTTTTGATCAAATTTTAGTTATTTTCTTGATGAGCTCCCATTATGTCCATGTAAATTAGAAAATGCAACATTTAATAAAGGACAATTTTTACCTGATTTAACTTGTGATAAAGATTCAAATCCAACATGTTTCTTTAACTCACAAGCAGTTCATTGCGTTAAAAGTGGCCAACCAAGGTTTTTATTGTACATTTATCATTGTTAAATTTCTTTTAATAAAAATTTCTTATATAACTTTATATAGTCTCCATTATGGCTCAGAACAACAATGTTGCTATAATAATGCTGGGGAACTCTTATCATTTTATGATACTATGTATGGATCAAGACCAAAATATTCACATGATATTGGAAAAGGATTAACGTGTGATAACAGACAAATTCCAACTCTTTCACAATGGTATAATGATAACAGACCGTATTTTTCATGCTGCTATTGGCAAAATAATAATAAATCAAATGATTGTAAAAGATTACGTTTTGAAAGAAGACCTTCACAGCATTGTTCAAAATATAAGCCACCTATAGTCGCATCAATACTATTAAATTCAACTATTCAAACAATTAATAATAAAGTTTACAAATTAAATAGTCTTGGAGAGTATGTACTAGCAAAAGGTAAAATTAATAATAATCAATTCGAAGTACAAGGTCGTTTTCAAACAATTGGCAAAGGAAATAATGAAACGTGCTTAACATCTATTGCAATTACTAATGGCAACAAAAACAATAATATTGAAGTTAAAATAAGGCCACCACATGCACAATGGCGTTACAAACTAAATGTGTATGCTGGAGGAAATTTAATTTATTTTGATCGGCCGAATATGAAGTTCCAATACTTTGATGGTACAACTGTATACACTCCAACATACAACTTAAATCAATCTGAAGTTATTATTATGCATTCATCCGGTGTCGGTGTGCATATTATTGAAAATTCTGGACAAATGAAATCTAAAATCTATATTCCAGAATCGTTTAAGGTAATCTAAAAAATATTAGTAATTAAATATAATTTTTCACAAATTTGATTTTATCGTTCCTTTTTACGTTTTAGGATGAAATTCTTGGTTTAGTTGGTATTTACAATTCTGATGATCCTAAAAATAAAATTGAAGAACTTAAAAGGAACTTTTTAGTTACCAAAGACGATTATTTATTCGTTTCTGAATATGGCAAAACTCTGGGTTCTTACAATTCTTTACCAAGCTATTCGTTTTTGTAGTGTACACTTGTTAAACCTGAAATAGACTATCAAATAAAAAATAATTTTTTACAATTCCATTATATGTAAATTTTTTTTAAATAAATAATCAATGATTCTAAATCAATTTTTTTCAATGATTTGCTTTCCAAATTGCGAGAGAAAAAATTAAACTAATGTAAACAATGCTTTAAAGATAATAAAGTTGGGTCAAACCAATGGTTTGTATTGTAGCACTTTACCCTTCAACAAGTGAAAATTCTGCTTTTAAATACAGTCTATGTATACCTATCACTATTAAAATTATTTTCATTCACAAACAAAACTATTTCTAGAATTGCATATATTTAGGATGATGTATATATGCAGTCTTTGAAATAAAGCAAAAATTAACATAAAGTTCGGTTAACATAATGCTCGATTATTAAGATTAATTACGTGAGTTAAGAAAAATAATTATATTTTTTAATATTACGGAATTTACTATTAGCTTTTTGCGTTTATAGAAATATAAAAAAGCTTGCGGTTTTGGAAATATATAGCGTCAAAAATTCAAATTTTAAAAATTTCAAAAGGCGATAAGTTGAAGGGTGGTGGAGATTGAAAAAAAAATTTCTTCTAACGAAATATACTACTTATTAGTATCTCCTAAAATTGCAGCCTCCTACAACCTGGGGTCTAGAAGAAAAATGAAATCAAAAATTTGGAAAAAAAAGATTTTAGGTAACGGTAAACTTGAACGGCCAATTAGTTTTTTTAAAGTTTAACTATAGTATACCATGATAGGAGAAGCAAGCCACTGTCTTTTTGCGTTTGCAAAATTTGAAAAATGCTCATGGTTTCATTGCAACAAATAGTACAAACGGAAAACCACATAATATATAGAGAGAATTATCTCATCAATTTTAAAATATTTACGGACGTGCTGATATTAAAAACTATCTTACGTAAATTATTCTTTTATTAAAATTATTTTTAATTTTTGTAACAATAACAGAATTGGATCTTAAGTAAATTTGACTGTATTACACTTAATGTGTTACCTAGGTAGGAAAAATATTCCAAATTTCAAAACAGCTACTTTTCAAAAATTGCGAATTTCTAGTTCTTAAATATAGAAAAATAAATGTATCTAGTAGAATATGCTTAATTAATTAAAAAATAAAACAAAAACTTTTATATTTTACTTAATTATTATTTAATTAAAAAATTAAAGCTTCTAAAGTGGAATTTTTTTTTTTGAAATTTCAAATTGTTTGACGTTCTGCAAATTGTATTTGCAGAACGCTGTCACTTTTGATCTTCAAATTTTTTAAATTACTGTAAATTATTTTACACTCTCTTATTCACAACGTAAGCGGCAAAACTTTATTGCGATCATCATCAATGAATGATATTATTGCTCTTTCTTCCCATTTTTAATTTTCGTTATTTTATTTTTAAAATAATTCCCCTCAAAAATTTCAAAAAATTGTATTCAAATTCAATATAGAAGAGTAAAAGAGAGTTTAATCGCTTAATATAAAAATTGGTAAACATTATTAAAATTTTAGAGAGTTTGCTCTCATCGTTTGGTTTAGTAAAGAAAAAACAACACAAATAAATAAGATTAGAGTGTAGTAGAAAAGCAGTATATAATTTTTTTTAAATAATTTAATAATTTCCTCCAGCTCCACTCATTCAATACCAATCGAGTCAGTATGTCTTGATCGTTTGAGTTAACCGTGTGGCATATTAAAATCTGTTTAAATTAGATAGTTTTTCTTCGTTTAAATTCAATTAATTGTCATTCTTTTTTTCGCATGTTTAAAGAAAAAAACAACATATAAAAAGTGTCAATGTCTTCAAATTATCATAAAAAAATTTATTAAAATTTTAAATTCGTTAATTATTTAATTGTCAATCAATTACATACATACATAAATTTTTATCTAAAATATATAATATCAAAAATAATTCATAATGTATAAATGTATTTTAAAAAAAAGTGAAATAAATTTTAAAAAATATTTACCAATATTAAATGGTAAATTTTATCATAGTGAAAAAGGAGTTTATGGATACCGGCCAAGGCCGACACGAAGCTTTAAAGGTGATTTTATTATATTTTACTTATTTACGAAATAGTATAATAGCTGGTACTAAGTATAATGCCACGAACATTAACTGATAACACAAGTTATTTTAAAACCACGGCATGACAAGAATTCAGATCGTGACATTAAAAAATTTTGGAGAAATCAAAAGTCTATAATATTTTCTATAAAACCACTTACCCCCAATACATTAATTTTAACTGTGAGTTTATTATAATTCGTTGTTTTAACAGGACCATCTGATCATATTATCAAAATATAATTATAAAATACATACATACATACAAATGTGTTATATTCAAAATGTGTTTAAAAACTTGTGCTGTGTTTGTTCAAAGTTTTTGGTGTATGCGGATGTATCCATAGAATTATAGAAAACGCTGCATACTGTTTATAATATTTAATAAAAATTTATTGAAAATAAGCAGCATGTACTGAATATCATAGTCTTTAATTTTGATAGGTCATTATCAAAATAATAAGTAAATATGCTAAATCTTGATAAGAAAGTAAAAAAAAATTAGACTATGGTGAAACAAACATTTCTCTTTTAATATAATATAAAATTACATATGAGTAAATAAATACAACATATAAATAAGTAAGTAATGACGATAGTGAGAGCATAATCATAATAAAATTATGAGAGCACACATATTTTTGACATTATTCTTCTATTTTTTTTAAATCAGGGTTGTCGTTTCAAACTGGAATAGAGTTTTCCGGGTTTTTTCATTCATGTTTGTATCCAAATACTGAATTATGAATAGATATCTCGTTTTTTTCAATTAATGATTTTTTCTCCTCTATTCTAATAATATTTTTCTTGAAAATATTAAATATATAGCTTTTGTTTGAATAAAATTAATCCTGAACTTTTTATTTGGAATTTTTTTCAGCGTTCATTGTTTAACAAAATATATTTACAAATTTATTACATAGAGAGTTATCAATAAACTATTTATAATTAGTTGTCAATAACTAGTTGTCAAAAACTATTTATAACTTTTATCAAGTATGAGTCAGAATATTTTTTGAACTGGAACATCGGGTTCCGTTTTAAGCTTCAAAGCTTTATTTTTTATAGCAAAATCAACTACTATTTAAAATTGTAAAACGACAGCTCGGCTTTTGTTATTATGAAAATTTATTATTTTAATAAGAGTAAAAATTACTAAAAAAAAAAGTATTAATTACTATCCACACTATGTTCATACATACATATGTACATTATTATATAATTGCGTTCACAATTCGGAATAACAAAAATTAAAGCCTAGACATTGATTTCCATTGCCAATTCTTTCAAAGGTAACGGTAATGTAAATTTTTTTACTTTCATAGCTTTAAAAAATAAAATTTTAACTTTTCTTAATCAAAAAAATTTAATATTTTTTGGAAGTTAAGATCATAGAAGATTTAGAAAAAACCTTTTCCGTCTCTCAAAAGAACTTATTTTATACTCCATGCCCCATACTTGATCTTCTGATTTTCTCTCATAAAATAATTGTTATATTAAGTATACGAGTATCAATTTCAAGACTCACATACATACCTACTGATGAAACATTTTGTTTGTATTTATGTGTATTGATTATATTAATTAATTGTTTTAAATTTATTGTGTATTAATCAATGAAAAAAAAAAAACAAAATTTAAAAAAATTCACTCATAATAAAACAAAAAAACAAAATATCTCCGAGTACTGGAGTTATTTGCTCAAAATAATATTAATACCATCAGTCATTAAGAGCAAAAAATAAAGGTGGCAACAAATTTTAATTATTAAAAATTTAAATAATTGCTATTATTATGCAGTCACTAAAATTTAAAATTAAATATTCTTCATTCTATTATCTTAGTATTCTTATCACTAAAATGATTGTTTATTCAAAAAGTAGAACAGCTAGAAAGTGAAAACAGCATAAATAATGACAATAATAACAAAACTAGAAAGAGAACAGAGGATAAATTGACAAATATATACATAGATATTTACATATTTACATACCTATAAGTAAGGAATATAATGAACGTATGAAGACTGTGTGTACATAGTTACTTATCAATTCACTATTTATTTATTCTCCCAAGTGTTATAACGATATTGACTCTTAATTACACTTTAGATTTAGAATTTGATTGGGATTCATAGTAAAATGATAGCACAAAATCTCGTTTAATCAAAAGATAATTCCTTTTAAATATTTATACATAGATATAATGGTACATACAAGCAATATTCCCGATATAGCGTACGTATGTTATTTTTAAAATTTAAGCGGGCTCTTATATTTAACTACTCTAAGCTCTGAAATAATTAAGTTATGAATTTAATACTCTACACATTTATGATGGAAAAACTAAATTCTTACATTTTAAAACATTGATGATTTGTAATTTTATGGCTATAATAACTAATATTAATTTTTGCAGTATCTGAAGATATTCTGAAATCTAGGAATTCTCAAAGCAATTTATATAGATGGGTTGAAGGATATAGAAAGCATGGTCACAAATTGGCGATGATCGATCCCGTTGTTTTTAAAGGAAAAAACGTGTAAGTTTTAAAGCGAGTTTTGCTTTTGTAATTTTACTCAATTTCAAAACGATTTTTTCCCAGTTTACATTTCAGTTTGTAATTTACACTTATAGAATCGCTAATATAATAAAATACTCTTTTAAAATTAATTTTAAAAAAATCTATTTATAAAAATGAAAACGATTTTAACAGATCTGCAATAGAGGAGTTGGATCCAAAGTATTACGGCTTAAAACCGGATGAAAATGTTAATTCCCTTGGAATTTTCAATAATCTTTCATCAAAAAATACAGTATCAATAGCTGAATTAGAAGTACTTTTAAAACGGGTATATTGTGGTTCAATTAGTAGCGAATTTTCTTATATAGAAGTACGTTTCAAGTTAATCAAACTTATATAAATTAACATTTTAATAAAAACTAAATTTCTCTTATTTGTATTTTAGTCAACTGAAGAAAAAGAATGGTTATCTGAAAATTATGAGAAAATATTACAAGAAAAATCTTTAATTAAAAATACAGATAAAATTGAAGTTGCAAAACTTTTAATTAAGTCTCAAGCATGGGATAATTTTCTTGCAACAAAATTTGCTTCGGTCAAGCGATACGGTGGTGAAGGCTCCGAAAGTACATTAGCATTTTTCTATCAACTATTTAAAGACTCTGTTAATGGTAAGCATTATTATTAGTTTATTTTAAAAAATCTTTTACTTACATATACATGCATAGTGGAATTTTTTAATTACTCAACATCGTTTTGATTTAAGATAATATTAAACATCTTGTAATTGGTATGCAACATCGGGGTAGAGGAAATATTTTAACATCAATGCTAAATGTAAGACCAGCGAAAATGTTTAAGAAATTTCAAGGTGGTTCAGAATTTCCTGATGATGCCATAGCTATGGGAGACGTAGTGAGTCACTATCGTAATAAAACCCTCAATTATTTAAAAGATCGAAATGAATTAACATTAATTTATTTTATTTTTTTATTTGAAAAACGATTGCATTTAGATGTTTCTGATAAATTTAATGTTGAAGGTAAAAGTCTATTAGTTTCAATGTTAAGAAATCCATCACATCTTGAGGTAACAGAAAATTCAAATATATTTTGTTTAGATAATCATTTGTTGTTTTTTTAAGGCTGTAAATCCAGTATCAATGGGAAAAACACGCTCTAAGCAACAAACTTATCAAGATGGTTCTTACAATCAAGATCATCCTGAAGCATTATTTTCAAATTACGCCCTAAATATTCAGGTACATGGTGATGCTGCGTTTTCTGGTCAGGGTGTTAACCAAGAATGTTTAATGATGTCTCAAGTTCCTAATTTTGAAATAGGTGGTACAATACACATGATAATTAACAATCAAGTTGGTTTCACAACACCCGCCGAACGTGGTAGATCATCATTTTATAGTACAGATTTAGGAAAATCAATACAATCACCAGTATTTCACGTAAATGGTGATGATCCTGAAGATGTGATGTTAATAACAAAATTGGCATTTCAATATCAAAGAAAATTTAGGAAAGATGTTTTTATTGATTTAAATTGTTTTAGACGTTGGGGTCATAATGAATTGGATGATCCAAGTTTCACTAATCCATTACTATATGCAGTTATCAACGAAAAAAAGTAAATTTTTGTAATTTTTATAATTCTTAAGTTTATTAATAGAATTAAATTATTTATTGTTCAATACTGTTTTTGAAATTGTTTTTTATTAACATATATTATCGTTTATATTTTAGAACCGTTCCTGATATGTACGCGGAAAAACTAGTTAATGAAAATATTTTGGAAAATAATCAACCTAACGAAATTCGTAATGAATTTATGGATTACCTCAGTAAAGAATTAGATAATACAAGTTCCTATAAACCAGAAGTAAATAAAATATATTTATATATACACACTGATGCATATACACAAATAATATTATTTTAGCCATGCTATTATGAGAAGCAATGGAAAAGAATTCAACAAGCAAGTCCTCATGAATTGACATATTGGGATACTGGTTTGGATTATTCATTATTACAACACATTGGTAACACAAGCGTCTCATTTCCTGATGATTTTGTACGCAATAATAAATACTTAACGTCTACTCATATGCACAATTTTATCATAAAAACATTATTTTTAAAATATGAAAATGAATATCACATGAAAAAATATCCTTAAACAAAGTAGAATAATTAAATATATCATCAAACATACCATATATACAAATATACAATTCTTTTTTGTAACCTCATAATATTAAAATATTTATACATTTCTTTTCATATATAAGAATATCCACCCTCATCTATTAAAGACACATGTTACTGGACGTTTAAAAAAATTATCTGAAGGTAATAAAATTGATTGGTCAACAGCTGAAGCATTAGCAATTGGTAGCTTAATGTATCAAGGACATCATGTTAGAATAAGTGGTGAAGATGTTGGTCGTGGTACATTTTCACAACGACATTGTATGTTAGTAGATCAAAAAACAAATGAAATTTTTATACCATTAAATAGATTGAATGGTGGATATGGTGGTAAATTAGAAGTCGCAAATAGTATATTATCAGAAGAAGCTGTATTAGGTTATGAATATGGTATGTCAATTGATAATCCAAATAATTTAATTATTTGGGAAGCACAATTTGGTGATTTTTATAATGGAGCACAAATTATGATTGATAATTTTATTGTAAGTGGTGAAAGTAAGTATATTTAAATCTTCTTTCATCTGCAAGTATCTTTATATAAATATTTAATATTAAAAATGCATATAAATTTTCTTCTACTATATACTCTCTAATTATATGAGTTCTCTTGAAAATCGATATAAAATTTTTATTAATATTTCAATTTTACACTTTATATTTAATTAATTAAGCAAAATGGATGGAATCAAATGGATTAGTAATTTTATTACCTCATGGATATGATGGAGCAGCATCTGAACATAGTTCATGCCGCCTAGAAAGATTTTTACAATTGACTGATTCTAAAGAAAATGCACCTGATGGTGATATTGTTAATTTACATATTGTAAATCCAACAACACCAGCACAATATTATCATGTATTAAGACGCCAAATAATAAGAAATTTCCGGAAACCATTATTAATTGTTGGACCGAAAGTATTGATAAGGTGAAAAATGCTTCAACATATCCGAAAACATCGAAAACATTTTATTTACTTTATTTAAAATCAATTAAATTGAATAGACAAATTATTCTCTCATTTAAATTTTAATTTTTTAGACTTTCTGATGCAACATCCTCGTATACTGAATTTGAACCAGGAACATATTTCAAAAATGTTATAGGTGTTTGAAATGACAATATTATTTTATAATGTCTTAATTTAAATATTAATTAAATTATATATGTACAGTAAATTTAGTAAAATTTAGCTAAATGCATTTAAAATTTAAAATAATTCATTTTTTTCGTAAAAATTCTATAGAATATTTTAAACCGCAAGCTATTTAATTCCACTAAATCAGAACATTTATTTTTAGGAGATGATTTTGTTGAACGAAAGAATGTTGATACAGTAATATTATGCAGTGGTAAACACTATTACAATTTGCATAATGAAAGAGTATCTAAAAATTATACAAATACAGCAATTATTCGTTTGGAATCGCTTAGTCCTTTCCCTTTCCCAGAAGTTCAAGAAGAAATTGGAAAATATTCAAATGCAAAAAGTTCGTATTGCGCTATTATTTCAAAATTATTGTCAAAAATTTAAACTTAATTTACTTTTTATGATCATTTTAAAAACTTTTCATTTTATTAAAGATTCATTTATTTTATTGAAAAAGAAAATTTAAAATATTACTTATTTACTTATATTTACTTTTATTTTTAAACTAATTCATGAAGATTTTATTTGGAGTCAAGAAGAATCTAGAAATATGGGTGCTTGGACTTTTGTTAAACCTAGATTCGAGTTCTTTGTGGGAAAGAAAGTAATTTATATGAAATTTTTTATAAATGAATTAAATAAATATATGAAATTAATAAACTTTTTTTGGTTATTTTAGTTAAAATACTGTGGAAGACCTGAAACACCAACAACTGCAGTGGGCGATGGAAAAATTCATCGTCAAGAAGTAGAATATATAGTCCAACAACCTTTCAAAATGTAGATATTATAATTGGGTTAAGTATACATTTAAATAAAATAATATTGTTTTGTTTATAAATAGTTTGTTCTTATGCATTGTAATAAAATTATTAAAAATTTTAAACTACTAAATGTTAAAATTTAACAAGGAATATTCAAGCACTTTAAAATGTTTCCGAAAGATCAATTATATAAAAACTTATTATCCTTCCCAAAAAATATTAAAGCTCAGTATCGTATAACTAACTGATAGTGGTAATTATCGTAAAAAGTTCGGTATTGTTATTGTAAACAGAAACCAATTCATACAAATGATTCGTGTGTATAATAAATTTTTTGAAACTTTTATGATAATTACGTATATCACTTTCACTTTGTGATTCGATATTCAGAATAAGTTATATTCAGTGTTTCGTTACTCAGAATAAACCCCATTGTAGTAACTTATTAAATTTCTACCGTCTATCTACTTTAAAAATATTAAAAATAATGAATGAAAATTAAAATATAAACAATTTTTATAATCTTTTTTTTTGTTATAATTTAGTTAGATTTTTATTTAAAAAATATAGGCATTATAATTTTTAAATTATATTTTCCTATTTATTTATCATTATCAAAAAAATTTTTTTCTTTATCAAAAGCCACATTAATAATTAAAATTTATGAATTTTATTTTTTACATTTATTTCTAATTAAGTTTTTTTTTAAATATATTAAGTAAAATATTGAGTATAATATTTTCAGCTAATGCTGACCTTATAACTAAATAAAATATATTCATACTTTATAACTGAATTAAAATAATAGTAAATAAATTTATAATCTAAATTAGAATTCTAATACCATATAGAAGAGATACAAATAAAATTTCAACTTTTCTCCAAATATAATAAAGGGCCATTAATTTGGAAAAATTACTCATAAAGATAAAAACGTATACCAATAGCTCTTTTTATATTTGTGTATGGAAATAGTTATTTATCACAATTAATTATTTAAGTTTCATTTATGAATGAACATTTATTAAATTAATCCTAATTCCCGAATATCATTATTAAAGTTAGAATGAATAGTATAGTAAAATAATAACTGAGTTAAACCAACCAATTCTGTAGTGAATAAGAAGTGATTTAATTATTTCCATACATAATACATTAGCATTACTGAATTAAATAAATATAACTATAATTAGTAAGTATTTTTTTTTTGATATGTAAAATTCAACACTTAAAAACCGATGGTCAACATTAACTATGCAATATTACTTCCAAAACTTTACTACAATTTATTTTCTTTATACGAAAATAATAAATTCCGATTTCATTTTTATTAAATTGCATTTTTGCCATAAACATGCTCTAGTACGTCATACCATGAAGACGAAACTTCATAAACATATGGGAAGAGTCATAGCCAAAATATAAGTAAAAATATTGTTGAGCTTATTAACAACCACCTTTCTACCATATTTATTCGTGGAGCACTATCCCAACCACATTCTAAATCAGATTTTAATATCTACAAAAAATCATCAAATACAAAATTAAAACCACGAAAATATTTTATAAAAAAAAATTTTACCTCCATTAATTGTTCATTATTTTTATTTGAACATTGTGTCTCTCTTAAATCATCATCCATTTCTTCACAATCATGTTTACCATAAATTTGACACGGTGAATTCATAAATGTCCTAAATACAGTATCTGTCCACGTTTGAGATGAACAAATATATTGACGTCGTTTGCGTTGCCAAAATTCAACCCAACTGAAATTCAAAATAAATTGTAAAATTATTGTATAAATTAAGGAAGAAAACAAAAAAGTTTTGTAAGTTTACCCTAAGTTGCAATCGCAATTCATTTTAGATCCAGACATTTTTATATCAGTTAAGAAAACGCTATGTGGTAAATATGGAACAGCGCCAGTATTCGGATTTGGTATAGTTTTCAATTCATTATTATTATATCGTACGTCAATTGAGACATTTCGTACTCGTCCCATATTCTTAAAAAAATTTGTAGGAATGGCAGATATAGATGTATTAAATAATTGAATGTATATGTATGGAGATCGCATTCCCTGAATAGAAAAATTATATTAAAAAAAAATATTTATAATCGGATAATAACAACAAACCCGTAATATAGTTTCGCCAAGAGTTGTAAACTGTGGCCCACTAAATGTAATATTCGTTAATTTTGATGGCAGATGTCCTCTCATTTCACGTTCCAAATCAGTTGGTTTTCCCATATCTAATAAGTATTTTTTATTTTCACTTATAGGTTTACCTTGAATAATATCTGCATAATGTTCAGGTGATTTCGGTGCTTCAACCCATAATTCTCTTATGTTATGATGTTCTTTTAATAAATATGGAATATTAAACGATGGCAAGTGAGAATATGCAGAAATTTTTAATGAACGAATATTTGGCAAACTTTCTAGGGATCCATTCTTAAAATTCAATTAAAATAAAAATTTAATTATTTACTTTATTAAATTTTATTGTATAAACTTACTTCAAAGAAATGTAAACGGAAATGTGAAATATCAAGCATTTCCAAATCTTCATTAACACCATCGAAACTATTATTGGTTAATGATGTAATCGGATTTCCAGATAATTTTAATATCCTTTAGATAAATTTATAACATGAACAGATGACAAGAACAACAAAATTTATAAAAAATAGCAATTTATTTACTTACCGTAATTGAGGTAAATGTTGTGCTATTATAGGAACATTTGTTAAATCATTATTAGATAAATCTAATAATCTTAACGCTGACATATTATGTGCCATTTCTGGTGGTATCGATGGTAATTCGTTACTTGCCAAACGTAACTCACGTAAATGTTTTAAGCGCATTTCTGGCACCGTACTTAATGAAACATTTTCTAAGCCCAACTTAATTAGTGTATTTTCTAAACCCAAAAATGATTTATCCATAACTCTTAAATCCCTATTATGTGATAAATCTAAATGTGTTAATCTTGGTAATGTTGCAAATACGGCATCATCAATTCTTAACAAATAATTATATGAAATATCCAGATATTTCAATGTCTAAAATAAAAATTAAGAATTAAAATAAATTAATTAAAGAAAGTATATAACAATATCAATATTAGAAACCATTTCAATCAATTAAATATTTAATATTAACCTTTTGATGATCAATTACTCACATTGAAGTTTAAAAACAGTTTCATACTTAACTTATACTTTTCAAATACACAAAAATACAATAGCCTTGCTCATAATATGTATAGTCAAATAGTTACAGAGTCATATTAAAGAACTAATAAAGAATCCTATATGAGTCTTGTAAATTAATGTTACATAATCATATCTTGTTTCAATTTCACTGAATTTAGTTTTTAAAATGAAAAAAATACATTCCATTTTTTTTAAAATACACAAAATACTTTAAGTTTCAGCAGAAAAAGAGGATAAAATCTGTAAATATTAAAATCAAATCATAAGTTATGAGTGTGTATTAGGTACGACATTAAGCTACTACAACATTAGATCCAAGAAAATCTTTTCGATTACTTCCTTTACTGAAAATAAATGATATTACACGAAGAACACGCGTGTTAATTTTAATTCTAGTCAGGAGTTCTTTAATTTCTGCTTTCGAATAAAGTAGATGAGGCAAACCACATTCAATTATTAAAATGTATAATTTTCGGAATACGTTTCATAATTTAATGTTCATAAGTACTAAGATTTGGTGTTATATTTCCCGCTATTCGAAATCAAATGGTTAATATAAAATTTATTAAATAGTTTCTACATAATCGGATCATCTTAAAAAATTCTTTAATATGTAATTACTCTGAATTTATTTGATAAGTCCATACTATGAATTGTCGCAATGTAATTATTAGATAAATGTAATTCACATAATGTTAAAGCAGCTAAACTTGATAAAGATGAAGTTGGAATTTTCAACAAGTGATTGTGTGAAACATCCATTCTAAAAAAAGAATTGTATTAAAATTATTATTAATGTAAAAGGACTTATTATTGTTTACGGAAAGATTTCAATCAAAAGATTAATTAAACAATAAAATGTAATCTACGATGCCAACAAGGTATTTTTATGTACTTAATTTGTTTTTTTATATTTGAAAAACAGATTACCGTTCTAAACCTCCATTAACGAATAAATTATCTGGCAGTGATTTCAAATAGTTGTGTGATAAATCTATTATTCTTAATCCATAAAACGGTTTAAAAGTGTCTTGAGGTAAATCAGTCAACTGATTATATGACAAATATAGAACCTAAAATGTAATAAAAATAAAATAAATATATATGTAGGTAAATATAAAAGGACTTGAAAATTATTGTCAAAAATTTAAACATTATTTTTGATGAATTTTACAATTCTATTTCAATTACCTGTAAATTTTTTGTATTTTTAAAGGCATCAAAATCAACTTCTCTTATATAATTATGTGAAATATCAAGCCACTGCAAATGTGGGAAATTTCCAAAAATATCTCGAGTAGAATTCTATATTTTAAAACAGAAAATAATTAAAAATTTTTGTTAATGTTATTTAAATAATATGAACAAAATACCATCAATGCATTATAACCCAAATGTAGATGAGTTAAAGACATTTCTACTGGTCTAAAATATCCCGGATGAATAATCGAGATATTATTATGTGACAAATCCAAATTTTTTATGTTGGAATGATAAATTGAACCTTAAATAAATTTCATAAATTTAAAAAAATCCAAAAAAAAAATGTTTTATATTAATTTATAAAATGCTTAAATTTTTTTTTTGCTTTTAAACTTCTTAATTAATTTAACTAGATTTCTGATACAGTCAAAAGTCGAAATAATACCGATTTTATGTGAGCTTTATTGTATGATTTTTACATACAATCAAGTTCATACAAAAGGGATTGCAGTTATACTACACTTAAACTAATAAACTGAATTTCAACTCATAAGCTGAAGTGATTATGAAATAGTTACGAGCTACTTCAATTTTCATGAATACATTATGATAAAAATCTTACCGTGATCAGATCTTCCGCCCCATGTTGAATTATTCATTAATGAAAAAATTTTATTATGACTTACATTTACACTGAGCGAAGATAGTGTACCGACCTTAAAAATTTGATTTAAAATATATTTTAAGAAAGTAAATAGAAAATAATTATCGAAATATTCAAACCTGATCGAAATAATCAAACGCAAAATTTGGTAAAGAATTAAACGCCATGTCCAACATTTCCAACTTTGGAAGATTCTGAAATGTGTCATTGAAAATATGCGTTTAAATTTTTTTTATAAAACGTTAAAGATAATATGCACGTCTTGATATTAAACTATATTTAATAATATAGTTTAATATCAAGACGTGCATAACTTAACATAACCTTAACATAACTTACAACTAAACATAACGAAAACCATAAACAAAACCGTTAACATAAAGCGAATTTTCCTGTGTTTAAATATACTAGTTATCAAATTTATACTTTTATAGAAGAAAGCGACATCTTTGCTAAACATTTGAAAATCGTTTAAGCAAGTAATTTGACATATTGAATAATTTTACACGAAAAAAGCAACAAAAAATTACTTTTAAAATTGAGCTGTCCAAAGTTCTATGACAATTAATATTACATTTAAGAAATTAAAAATTTAATTTTGTAAACTACATTTAGAAAATTATATGATAATTAATATTACAACCAATTGCTTGCCAATAGCTTGCGAAAGTAAATGTTCGGTTAAACGACAAGGGTTTTCGTTAAAGTTGCTGTCTCATGATCCAATACTTTATTGGCAGTGGCAATTTTAAATGTCTCTAAGAAAATACCTGTAATGACTTTTTTAGACACTCTTTTGAAATTTATAGCACGTATATTATATCAATTCAGTGTTGGCAAAACTATTGCCAATTGGACTAATGTTGTATTAAATTTCAAAAAACAATCAAGATTATTTTAAGACTCACATTTTAGAAATTCACTGCAACTACGTTTTCCCTACAGATTCTCTACAACTGCCTTTGAATTACTATTATTTTAAAATTTAGCATAAAACGGCGTTGTGTGTTTTCAAATCTAGCATAATTCATTAACTTGTAAAAATATGCAGTCAACACTAGATATGAAATAATTTATTGAATTCGTTTTGACATAACCTTACAAACTCAATTTTGTCAACTTGCTAGTTCTAATGTCATAATTAAAAATTGTGAGTTAAACAAACTGAATTGGTGCCAAATAAATAATATAAAAGCTATCTGAAATTTAATAATTAAGAAATATTTAATTTAAAAAAATACAAACGAAAATTAATCATAGAGGCGGATTCACACAGAGTGAAACTAAAATGACTGCATCACCCTCAGATGATAAAACATGTAGGATGTGTGGGCACGCAGACAGATCTAATTTAAATTTATTTCATCCAAGACAAATATATAAAAAAATTTTGGCTTTGTATCCAATCGTGGTAAGAAAACATAATTAATTTTATATTTACAATATAAGGGAAAATATAGGATCAAACTTATACGAGTACAAGTTAAAAGACATTACAATTGCATTTTCTCCAAAACCCAAACTGGAGAAGGAGAATTCTTTATCCTTTAAGCATGAAGAATTGTATGATCACGTCTATTTAGGTAGTCTATCCAAACTATCCAAAGTGAAATATTTAATTATTAACTCTTGCCTGTCTTCAAATCTAAATTAAGTTGAAATTCCAGAAAGCTTTTTATATTTTATATATTTTTTAGCTATATAAATCGGATCCCCTTCCAAAAAATATTTGTTTAAAATGCTATGCAAGTACTTTGAAGAGGTATGAAGAGTATGTAAGAGTTGGTAAAATTCAAACCAGATGGATTAACAATGTAAGGAATAATCAACCCAACAATCCTTACATCAAAATTTTAGATAAAATTGAGGTAGGTACTATTGTCTTAATACATGCATATAAATATCGATATACTTTCTTATTTAAGGAAACAAACAAAAACTTAATAGAACAGTTAAGAAAACTTGGAGATGATGCTGTAGATGAATCCTTTTCCATAACAAAACATAGCCGTAATCAGTTTCCAGAAGATATATTCAATTCCACATCATCATTTAACTATAACAATCAATCACATCCATTTAATAGAGATAACCGAATGCAAAAATTTAACAATCAGGCGAATAGAATTTTATTAAGCCATTTAAGAGGCGAAAATCAAAACAAAAATTTAAACTTCAAATCTCAAAATGGATTTCCTCACGAACCCAATATTTCAAACATACAAAATTTTCCGAGAAATAAATGTCGTTATTGCTTTAAAGTTTTGCCTAATCAAAAATATTTAGCATTTCATCAATTGAAGTATCATATTGGTTTAGCAGTATTTAAAAGTTTTACAAAAAAAGCTCTACCTAAGAAATTAAGGTGTGGTCAAGCTATTAAAATAAACAATAAAGCATGTTTAAGGTGCAATAACTGCGGAAAATGTTTCGACAGTTATGATTCTATTTTAAACCACTGGCAAAATAAAAGATGTGAGTTTTATTGCCTCATATGTGGAAAAGAATATCCAAATGATCCTAGTCCATTAAAAAAGCATATAAAATTGGAGCATTTTCTAGAATACACTTCCTACAAGGATCTTATTAGAAAAAGTCGAAAATTAAATCAAATAAAAAAGCAACCTCTTTCGCCTTCATTATCTCAATACAATGAAATAGACGAAGAGGCAAGTAAATTAAATGAACCAAATGAACGCGATAATGAAGAAAATCCTTTAGAATTAGATTTTGAAAAGGAATCATCATTTGAGTTCATAAACGTTGCAGAAAAGCCGAAAATTCCAGTTTTAAAATTATTGCGAAAAACTAATTCAGAAAAAAATGAATTCGACATTAAAGTTGAAAATATGTATAGATCTCCATCATACCCAAGATCACCGGATTCACCCTCCAGTAATGGTTTAAATGACAGTATAGGAAAACCTTTTACTCTAAGAGTAAAAGACTTAAGTGAACTTCAATGTAAACCTAAAGAAGAAGAAGAAGATGAAGAATATATAAGTTTGAATGATTTCAAATTAAACACGTTAAATTTAGATAGTGAAGACCCTTGTAGTACTAAAGAAAATTTTCTAGAAGAATGTCAAGATATTTAAAAAAAAACATATTAATTGAAACATGCAATATTTTTGTATAGCAAATAATAAGTGTAAATCTTAAGCTCTAACTGAAAGTATTAAATGTTAATTTCGTAGCCTAAATTTAGTCGCTATAATTATAACATTCTATAATTATATATATTTTAGTTTTATAAATATAGTTTTTATAATAATTTATTTAAATTTTAATTTCATTAATAAATACAATGTCAAAATAAATAAATAAGCACATTTTTAATTGCAAATTAATAAAAAGAAATTAATGCATAATTTAATTACCTGAAAGGATTCTTCAGCTAAGTTGTTCAACTTGTTTCCTCTTATACTTAAGTGGACCAATTGATCCAAATTCATAAAAGCACGCCTTTCGATATTTGAAATTTTGTTATCATCCAAATATAATTTTCTTAAAGCCTACAATAAAACAAATACATTAATATTTTACACAATTTGATGCCAATTTGATGATAAAATATTTTTACTTCTAAATCGAAAAATGTGTGTTGCGAAATTTGTCCCAAATTGTTAAATTTAAATGAAATTTCTTCTAATTTTGAATGTATATCTCCTTGAAAAGTTCCCTTAGCGACTTGTTCTATTCTATTATCATGTAACTCTAAGAGTCTCAGATTTTTTAAAAAATGAAGACTTGTATCACTCATACTTGCTATTTGATTATTACTAAAATCTAATTCTTGTAATGATGTTAAATGTCTAAGAGCTTCAGCGGGTAGAGCTGATCCAGTGAAACCATGAGCTATTTTCAATGATATCAGAGAATGTCCAATCTATTTTTAATACATATATGTATATAATTTTAAAATCTTAAATTAATTTAAAATAGATAATTGCATTACCTCATTGAATGCATCACTTTCAATTGAACCAATACCATTTTCGCTTAAATCTAATCTCTTTAATCCACGAACATTTTTAAATGCATGAGCTTTAACATTTGTTAAACCACCTCGCGTTATCTGTAAATCTTCTAATTCAACACCAAATTCAGAAAATTCATCTGCATCTAATGAATTGGTTTTCATTTTTGATAATGACAATGACCTCATATTACGCATTCTAGTCATACTTTAAAAATAAATCACAAGAATTTTTTTCATGATATCTTATGGGGTATTGTACTTACTTTCTCAATTCTTGTAAATTAGTTTCCGAATTCATATCACCACTTAAATCCAATTTCAATAGTGAATATTGTACAACATTGAACATTTCAACTGGTGCAATGATTTTGATTTTATTATCACGTAAGCTAAGTACTCTATAAATATAATATAATATGCATGTATTTCTAAATAAGATGCGTATGCCTGAATTATATGAAATTATGATTATAAAAAAACTAAAACTTGAAAGAGGTTCTTATTTTCTATTCTTATTCATACGAAAAATCGTACAATTATGTATAACTAAAAGTCTTATAATTGCCAAAATTTTTAGTTCTAGATTTTAAATTTTAACATTATTGAAAATATTTCATTTTAAATTGCTTTTAACGTATTAATGCAGATGCCCGATACTTCAAGTCTTAATGGATGTGCAATATCTAACGCATTCGAAACAATTGTGAAAATACAAATTTAAGACCTTAATAATTTTTTAAAGAAACTCTAAATTGCTAATAATTGTACTATTCTCTTTTAAATAAACTCAAACCACTCTTTATCAAAAAAAAAGGAACATTTTTTTAAAATTTAAATTAGCTTGTATGTAAATTCACCTTAAAGTATCAAAATTATTGAACAGTTTATTTGGTAAATTTGTAATATTATTGCCTGATAAGTCCAAAATTTGTAGGGAGTTGACCAAACTATCGAATGCTACCGGTGATATACGAGTTAATCCACAATATCTCATGTATATTTCTCGAATTTTAGCTGGCTTAAAAGCGTCTTCCTAATGATTAAGTTCAGTAAAAAGAAAAATGAATGCATAATGTATTCAAAATTATGAAAATGATTTGATTTTATTAATAACAAACAAATAAACAATTTAATATATAATTCATGAAATAAACAAGTGAAAAAATATAAGTACTTATGTAATAAATACCATTATACGATATATCGGATTTCCATCAAAGAATGTCCTATTAACTACTTCAAAATTTTTAAATGAATTTGGTGTCAATTTTTTTATATGATTATATTCGATATGCAAATTGTCTAAATTCAATTTGGCCGAAGATTTTGTTTGATAGGTTTCATTACCAGCCATCGACCAAATCACATTATGTGAAATATCCAAAGTTCTTAGAGCCTTTAAAGTTGCCAAAGCATCATATGGAATTTCTGATAATATATTATCAGTTAATAATAATTTATGTAATCTTGGCATACCGTCTCTGAATACACTTGGATCGATTTCAAATAAATTATTTCCAGATAAATCTAATGTTTCTAATATTAGTAAACCAGAAAAACTACTTGATTCCAATCTTGATATACAATTTTCTTTTAAAACCAATGTTTGTAGTGAATCTTCTAAACCACGAAATGAATCGTGATGTATATGAGTTATATGATTATAACTAACATCTAAATGACGTAATTTATGCAAATGACGAAATGATTTTGATGGAATTTCAATTAAATCATTATATGGTAACATCAGTTCCCATAGAGATCTTTCCAATCCTGTGAATGCATCATCTGGTATTTCTGTTAAATGATTTTCAGATATTTTTAAACGATACATTCCAGTTGCTTGCAAATAATATGGTTCAATATCACGTAAACCTGTATTTTCCATACTTAAACTGAAAACCTATATAATTTTAAAATTAATTTACTTTTATTTAAATTCCAAAATTTTATAATAAAATTATAAATTTTTACAATTAACTTAATGAACAATGATGAACAAGTGTCTTTACAACCATTAATTACAACGATAACATTAAAAATCAAATTCAGTTAACAAAACTAAGTCATGTTTTAAACGCGATTAAATCAACAAAGCTCAAGAACCCAGAGTGCGAAATTTATTGTTTCACGCTATAATGAATTTATATTTAAAATTTTTATTAAACCTAAATATTGTTCTCATTGTTTTTAAGTTACTTAAAAAATATAAGTAGAGTGGGTGGTAAATTATACTTAATGAACTTGCCTTTGAGTTATTAACCATTTTTGGTAGAGCTGGAAAAGGAACATTCCTACATCTTACAATACCCAAATCGGGTGCTGATTTTGAACAAGTGCATAATGCATTATATGTGCATGGAGGATATCGTTCTTGTTCCGTTTCCATATGATATGCTGATGATAAAGATACCCATATCATTAACGATAATGTAATAATTACTAACGCGTAGCCGAATTTTATTATAGTCTCTAGACCCTGAGGACAAAATAAATTCGCATTAAATTTTAAATCAAATATATAATTAAATATATTATAAAAAAAATTTGCTAATGTATTTGCTTTAATGAACATTTTATTACACACAAAATTAACTAAATATTTTTATGTCGCTGTCGTTAGACCCGTTTTAAAGTACGTACGTCAAGACAAGTCTCTTTTTCATAATGTTGATATAGATCGTATTGAGGCTGTGCAAAGGAGTTTACTTTTTTTTTTTTTCTTCGTGATATGAATTGGTCGGATCCGTTTAGATTGACCCCATATGAAAGTAGGCTTCATATGCTTTTGGACTTAAGGTCACTTCGTAGTCGGAGTGTCTGTTTTATTGGATATTTTAAGGTTGGTCAAGCTTTTCAATATTCCTCGTCATCATCATAGGCGACGAATTATGGGATTTATGAGCAAATGACGCGTATATTGCGCGAAATAAAATTATATTCTTCGGTTTTTCGTGCAAATATAAGAGGGTACTCAAGGCCAAACTCTACGGTGGCATTGATTTTGTTATTCTTAGTTTATGTGACACATTAATTCGCCGTGCAGTAGTTGTAAATCTTTGGTTTTAGCTGTTTAGTTATTAATTCATAACATTTCACATATTAATATTAAATTAACACTCCTAGGTAAGTTTAATTTGGTATATTAAATTATTATTCTGAGAAAGTCATCTGATATTGGAATTCATGAAGATTTTTTTAAAAATACATTTTGTAACTACATATATTCGTTTTCTTATTAAATTAATATTCTGCTGTAAAAATTTACTTAAAATGTAATTAAATTTGATATTTCACTTTATTTGCCTTTAACTTACAAGAAAAGCAAATCAAATTCTTATATTTAATAAATAAAATTTATTACTCTTATTTATTACTATTTATTTAATACTCTTTGTACATTATTATTTAATTATTTTTACTTTAATTTTCTGTATCTATAGTGATGTGCGTTCAACTTTAAAGTAAAATTTTTCTTTAATCCTTACAGTAATGCGTCATACTGTTCATTTATGCATGATTGCTATATTTTCTTCTAAGTAAAATTATTAAATTGATTTTTTTATTTTATAATATTTTGTTATAATTTGTGCATCGTAAATTAAATGTTAATTTGATTAAGTAATTCCAAACAAGATTAATATCAGTAAAACATACACGAGCCCGAAACTGGATCCATTTTTTTCTTATTTCATTTGTTTATTATAAAATAAGCTTATTATTTAATAATTCTAACAAATAAAATTTTATTTAAAATTGTTTCATATTAAAAATCAACATTTTTAACATAGATTAAGTACAATTATCACTTTATTTCACCATAAATTGCAATTGAAATTATTATCGACTTCTTTATAATTTTTTCAAATAATTTTTTTTAATAATTTAAGCAATAACATTTAGATTATTAATATTTTGCTGAAATACTAACCATTTTTAAATAATTTTAATGATTTGCTTTTTTTATATTTAAATTCAAAATAAATTTATTTTAAGTTTTTAATTTCCATCAATCTTATTATTTAATATTGGTAGTTAAAACTGTTGTAATCCATAAATAATATTTAAAATATAGCGATTTTATAAAATGTTATTCATTTTTGCAAAAATAAATCAATTATACGTTCAAATACTTAATTAATCATTTAAAGAAAAAAAATAAAAAAACTGAAAAAATAAAGATAAATATTTAAAAATGAAAATTTTAAATTAAATTTAATACTGAGGCACGTCCGATCCTCAGAAATGTCTACAAAATTCTGGTCAATTATAAATTAACTAAAAATTTATTTTAGGTTTCTAGAGTAATTGCAAAATGGTTTAAAAACGGTATAAATTACTAATTGGATTAACACAGTTTTTCGTTTCTTCTTTCATCACCAACCAAAAAAAAAAAAAAATAGAACTATTGTAAATAAAAAATCAGTCACAAGTTAATGTTGGAAACTTATATTTTAACTTCAAAATTACCTGAGGGCAGTTTTTAAAAACTAATTAAAAATTTTTACGCACAGTTTCTTGATACTACACGATAAGATGGTAATCAAAGAGGATGATAGCAGTTTGTTTGTTGGTTTTTGCAGTGATTAGGTACTTACATATTTGAAAAATAAATTTTTAAAACCTTTCCATAGCATTTTAGTTTGACAGTGTTATACACCTAAATTTCAATTTAGACTTTGGAACCCAATATCTTACCATAAAATTATATTACTTAATTAAAATTATATTATGTAATCTATGTATGTATATATGTACACAAGTATATACATATATGCATTTCTTATTTATCAAAATTTTCATACAAAGGAACTCTTTTTATAAATACAAAGACTTTACTATGCGTAGGCCTTTGATTAAAATCCTTTATTCTGTTTGAAACGGAAACGAAACTTCCTGTAAATTCTTTCATTTTTATCGTTACTTTTCGGATAGCTTTAATTCATCATAAATTTCTTCTTCTGCTTTAGTTCTTCCACGCTTTTTTTTACACTGCTTATATATGTACTCTACCAGGTCGTCAAATATAAGTTTTTTCTTCTTGTGTAGTCCATAATTTTCCCATAAAGTAAAATTAGATTTGTCCATAAACTTCGCTATTACATTCCATTTATCGCATTTTTCTAGCAAAATTTATAAGATATTCTTGTTGTTTTTCAGCGCATGGGAGGTAAATGATAAATATTCAATAATTTATTATGTACAACTTACATATATATGCACTAGAAGTAAATCTTCAATAACACAAAACTAAATAATTTCAAATTTTGGGGTAAACATTTTATAGTTTCTAAAATTTCCTATATAACCGTCAAGCAGCTTTTTATTTTTGAAAATTTTATATTTTTTCTTTTGTCTGCTACTAAACCAATTAAAATAGTAATTCCTTATTTTCAGTCTTTTTGCTCAATTTTACATTAAAGGTTTCACATTTAAAATCGAATATTAAGTTGAATATTTAAAACAAAATATGATTATTTGAAAATTAAGTTAAAATTCATTTTATTGGTTTTCTTTTCCTAAACAATTCTACATGTACAAATGAAAATTATTTTTTCAATATCAAACATTAAACTAAGTATGTACATACATTATATGGACATACATACTTGCTAACATTTACGTTTTCAAGGAAGTCAATAAAAATATAAAATAATTTCATAATTTAAAAAATAATTTTTAAAAACCAGAGTGAATGAAATTAATATTTTGCATATTTTTTATAGACAATTATTTATATTTTTATACGAGGAAAATAGAAATGTTTATTGAACTTTCTTAGAATATACGCAATTTTAAAAATATAAAAAAATCATAATTAAAATTTTTTACACTTACAGGCTTAAACAATTGTTTTTTTTTGCTTTGTTTCGAAATGGAAATTTTAAAAATTCACCTGCTTTACAAACACGATTTCAATCACAATTTATATTTTCTATAGTGACTTATATTTTAAGTATTGTAAATTAAAAATTGTTTGAATTGTTAGTATTGACTCTTTAATACATCATTGCAAAACTAAATTATAAAGAGAAACTTAAATATAAAAATTACATAATATAAAACTTAAATATTAGAAAGAAATATTTCCAAAGTTTTGATGTATTTTTAAATCATAATTCTTACATATCTTCGAACCCTTGAAAAAATCTATGATCTTCTAGTACGAATACAAACATACATTGAATTGAAATACATTTCACAATTCTTCGATGGTTTTTCTATAACAAAAAAAATCATATATATTTCTCTTTTAAAATTTGAACATTTACCATCTAAGATGTCGGCTATTGAACTCAAAACATTTGACGGGAATACATTATCTTTATTATAATAAAAAGATGTCTCAACTTTCCTGAATTGATTTGAAGATTTTATAACTATTCTTCTTACATGAGGAACTTTACTAAAAAGAAAAACATAAAATACAATATATTTATGCGTGTCTATTAGTTTAGTTTTATGCATACTTTTCAACGTGTACCACAATATTGTCAGTTAAAATAGGTAAAGCAATAGAATCTGAAAATTTAGTGACATCCCTTGGAAAAGGTTGTAAAGGTCTTTGCAACAGTTGTTCAAATATTTGATTGTAAACTGAAAAATTAAAAGTAAAAGTAAAAACAGAAACTTAAATAATTCCAAAATCAATAGTTTTTGAACAACCAATATTTTAAGGGATAAACCTATATTGAAAGTATTAAATTAATTTAAAAAGCAAATCACCATTTTCTAAATTCAAATTAAGTTGAATTGATAATAAGTGTTCTAGTGCAACATGAATTTGACATAGTTTTGCTAATTTTAATTCTGCTTCCTTCTCATTGTATTTGCTATTTTGAAATCCGATAATATTAACACTATCATCATCGCTAATACGAGCATTTTGTAAATTATGCAATAAAGTTTTACGGGTTTTCTTATTTGCTTGGAATTTTTGATGTGCATTTGATAAAGTATTCCGTACATTAAAATTTTGTTCTTGTACTTTATTACATTCTTCACTAAGAATAAAAAAATTAAGTTGACTCAATAGAAAAACTTGTTATTTATGTGTAAGATATATGAATCTTACATAAGTACATACCTATTCTGTAACCGTTGTAAATCAGTTAATCCACAAATTTTACTTTCAATTAATATGTATTCGTAATCTTTTTGTAGTTTTTCTAATCCAATTTCTAAAAGTAACTCCAATGGCTCCGTACCAGTTAAACATGGTATAGCCAAACGACGTTGGGCGACTTCTCGTATTATTTTTGCTAAGCAATTTTCATTTACTGGCATATTCTTGAGAAAAATAAGAGAAAGAAATAAGTAAAAATGTAATAAGCTAAATAAATAATAATTGAATTAAGTCTAACAAAATACTAACAATTATATTTCTTTGTGCAGCACATTGGAAAACTTGAACGAAACCAATTTTCAAATCTTTATAAGATGAACAACCTTGAGAAAAAGTTAACGTTATTCTAATAGATAAATGTTTACAAAAAAATATTATACATTTCAATATTTCAAAAAGTTTATCTGTTATATCACACAACGGGCGAGTTCTGCTTCTTGCTGCTACTGGTTCTATTTCTTTGGAGTCGTTTTCATTATTACAATAATAACCGGGAAGCTCAGTCATAACTTCGATGATATTTTCTTTTAAAACATCAAGTTCAATACCTCTAAAACATAAAAATACATACTACCTAAATTTTTAGACCAATTATTTAAACTATATAAACGTGATTTGAAGATTAGACATACATAATCCGAATAATTTGAATAACAGTGGAATAATAAAAATAAGCAGTATAAAACCTTTCAATGGCTACAATGGGAGAACAATTTGAAGCAATAGTAAACTAAGCTTAAAAATCATGAAAGAGCAAAACAACAATTAAAAATGATTTCAAGTGCTTCCGTTATTTTAAATCAGTAATCGGCTTAATTCAAATAAAATGAAAAAAGTATATAAAAATATTGGACTAAACAAAAAATTACCTTCCCCATTTACAAACAGTTTCATTTCCTATTTGATCATTTGTTTTGAAATTAACTACATCTTCATTTATCAAATCTAAGATGCATAGCTGCCTCCAAAAATGCTGGAATACTGAATCATTATTCTCCAAATCAATTTCCTGACAAAGCATTGTAGTACAATTTTTTATGTTATTTAATTGAGGGCGAGCAGCTGAAGTTGACCAACTTAACTTTAAGTATATTTTATTTTCAATATTGTAACAATTCTCAATAAAAGTATCACAATGTTTAACCCCCTTTATATAAGAATTATGTATTTTTATTAATTTATCAAAATTTAAGGAATTTGTTTCAACCATTTCACATGATTTAATAAAACTTATTGAGTTGTAATTATCATCAAAATTCAAACTCATTAAAACAGTATTATCGCTCTCTGTAGCTTTGCAAAGAAACCAAACTGAGCCGTAAGATGAAGTTTTTCTAGCTTCTTCTTGGAAGGAACTATCAGAAATAATTGCTCTTACTTTTTCTAGTTCAATTGGTTGATAATTCTCTTCATGTTTTAACCATGGTGTAAGAATTCTTTGTGGTAAGTCCATCGAAATATTTAAAGAATCAATGTTGCAATCATCTTTTAGAGGTGATCCAGTTAGATCTAAAGAATTTTCTGATTTAATTTCACGTTTCGGGCTTATGTATGAAAACACTTTCGTTTGCTTCATCTAGGAACTCATTATAATTTTATTCATATCATTTATCGTTTAATTTTATTAAAAATAAAATTTACCTTACAAATGAAAATTACTTTTTCATTGGAATTGATTATAGACCTCAAGAATGTTGGTGGTTCATCAAAAACAATATGTAAATCATTGAATTTTTTCTTGACAAAGGCCAAAACATTTCCTAATTTTATATGCATTCCGAGAAGTTTCAAATTAATCTCGTTCAGATATATTTTATTTTTTTCCCCTAATGATAAAATAAATTCCAGTTTTAAAAAGCCAAACAAAAAAACCCGCTTACATAAAAAAATCAAATATTTTAAATTTTAATCGATTTTGTTTGACAGTTACGACTTTAATTTAAAATCGATTGCAAAAAACCGATTTGACGAAATCTGATAATTTGCCATACGCGTAGGTGCCGTTTACATACGCGACAATCTTCCGACTTCCACAAAACAAAACAATATTATAATAACCACACAGTAAATCATATGAGAATAGAAAAATTTCTATTATTTTAGATTAGACAAAGTCTAGTGTCAAACAATGTTTACATATACGATTATCATCGAGCCAAGATTGAATCTTAGAATAAGTTTCGAAACAAAAAATCTAATAAATTCTGTAAAGCCGACATTATTTCTTTTTTATACCAAATTGGTTTCCGCAGCAGTAAAATCGAAACTGAATTGTTACGTATATATATATATATCTTAAAAATCTTAAAATGCGCAGTTGTAGATATAAAACAAACTGCAAAAATAGTACTGCATTATCAAACATAATTTTTTGACAGCACGCGCCGTTCGTTTTAGTCAAACATAAGACACATTTAGAACCAAGTTAGACTGAATTATTTTAACTGCTTTAATAAAATAGCATCCATATCCAAGAGCTTCAAATTTACCCATATTCTCCTACTTAAACTTATCAATCATTTGAAATGAATATTAAAAACGTAATTTCCAGAATAAAACCAATTTCAAAATTTTGAAATTCTGTTTTGCACTGAAAACACCAATATTTAAATAAAATCACCTAAATCTGTATAAGAGGATATGGATGAATATTCAATGTTGAACAAATTTTTGACAGAAATTAAAAAGTACATAGATCAAAAAATTATAATTGAAAAAAATATTTATTTACAAAATGGAAAAAATTTTTCATTTCTTATTCCTATTCTTTTCTTGTTTTCGTCTATTCTTTCCTAATCTCTTATTTTTCCCACTACGTACACCAGTATTTTTGAACTTTTTTACCTTTTCAATACCCATTGATGAGGCTTTTGTATTTGATTTAAGGCCACGCTTTTTTCCACCAAAACCAAATCTTTTATCTCTAGCTTTACGTTTTTCTCCTGACTTTTTTTTCTGATTATTTAAAGCTTTTGCATCTTCCAAAAAATCCAAATTTTTTAATTTTCCTTTTCTGAATTTTTTCAAACTGTCTAGCATTTCTTTCTTTTGCATTTCGCGCTGTACTTTGGTTTGCTTTGCTAGCAATTTACCCATTTTACGTTGTTCTCGTATTTGTTTTATTCTTTCGGATTTTGCTTGTCCTTCTTGTTTTGCAATTAAATTTGCACGTACTTTTTGCATATGTTCATCAGTCTTAGCCATCTCAGCAAAATAATCGTCTGGACGTTTTGTAGGTATATTTAATGCATGCAACTTTTTTATACCTTCAAGAACTGCTGCTTGGGCTTGGCGGTGAAATAACATTTCCCGTTTAAAATCATTTAAAACTGGGTCTTCTTCAGGTTTTATGTATGGTATTTTTAAATTTCCTTTAAACTGATTTGCTCTCTTTTGCTCATGCCGTTCTATTTGTATTGCCAGTTCTGGTGCAAGCGGTGCTAAATCATTAACCATATCAAATCTTTCAACCCATGGTAAATCTAAATATATTTTTTTCAAAAACGCTAACATTTTAGGCTAAAACAAAATTTAACTCAAATATGTATGTGATTCCTTTCTGATATAACATAGAATCTTACCACGTTATTAGCCTTTTCTTTTTCTTGTACTTCCATATTTAAGCCTGGTTTTAAATCCCCTCTTGCTAAAGCATCTTGAAGCTAAATTATACTTTTGTTATTTATTACTTTTGTGTTATACAAACTTTACCTCTTTATCAGATTCATTTTCGGAATCTGCGGAGTCCATATTTTCATCACTTTCAGCATAAAAAATACTTTTTTTACCCATTTTTTTTAATTTTTTTATTTCTACTTTTTGAAATGATACAATTTAGTACTTAACTTAGTAAATAAACAACCACATGGAATTCCTTAAACTTTGAAGTATGATTGATTTCGGTTTGTCAGCGTCTGAAAATTTACAAGATCTGCTGGAGGTATTGACACTTGCAAATGTGACGTTTGGCGAATTGTGACGTCATTGCTGTTTAAACGAGAAAGTTTTGTTTAAAGTACGAGAAGGTTTGCTCACTACTAAGGTTTTTTTCTTTTTCTACCATGTGGGACTATTGTAAAACTTTTGTAATTTAAAAAATAAGCCTTTGTAAAGAATTGAAGAAAGATGCACGTAAAATATGATTACAAAATTTTTTTTTAAGTATGATTCTATTTCCAATTCCTGAAAATTGACAGTTGTTCACATATGACAGTACCATTAAGAACATATGTAGGTGTATATATAAACATTCCTTTTGCAGATATGACGTAATTACCTTCAAAAAATAGGGTCATGCTAAGATATGAAATAAATTTATCAGAAAATTTTTGATTTTATTCAATTTTAGGATTTCATTGATGATATTCGATAATTCAGAAATTCATTGATAGTTCTAAATTAAGTCTGAAAAGTCTTTTTCAGACTTAATTTCAGACTTCTGCAAAAGCTGAATATTTACTTTTGCAAATGTGCAATACATATATTCGAGTAATTTTTCAATATCAAACATTTTTTTATTCAAGCTAATTTGTATTTTGGCAGTAGCTATAAAATTTAAAAAATTCCATTAGAATTTTAAAAATAACTGTCAAGAATTGGCTATATTTGCAGATTTTACAGTTTGGTTCTTTCGAACATTCTTCATTTGCAGATTTTGCAATTTGAATTTATTGAGCGTCCTACGCTAGAACTAAATTATCGAAAATTCCGATTATTTTTTATGACATATAAATTTGACTATTTGTCTAAGTTCCATATTGTACGATGCATACATGAAATTCCAATTTATGGTATTATATGATATGTACATTGCTGGGGTTAGATGCATGATTTCTTTTGGGCGTAACCTAAGCCAATTTCAATTAAAAATGAGATATTTTTCCGCTTGTGTTGAACGTAACCAAAAATTCTTTTAACTGCTTATTTGCTTTATAGAATAATTACTTTCCTATCCGATAACTTCAGTTTCAATTCCAACATGCATATTGGTATCATTATTGCATTTGAAATAAAAGGGTTTTCAGATTGCAAATGGACTAAGTTTCTTTCAAAGTGAACCATCCAAGTAACAAGACTAAAGGATAATCGAAATTTTGAATATTGCGCCCAAATGGTATTTGTAATTCATGCAATTTTATAATAAAACAAATATTTTCTTTAACTATGATTTTTGTTTTTATTACTTTAATCCGCGATAAATACAGTCACATTTATTTTTCGAAATCATTTTATATTTATTTCCTTTTCATCCTCATCATCAAAAACAAATGCAATTTTCCTTTATTTTTTTGTTTTTTCCAAAATAATTGTTAATTTTTTTTTGATCTTATGAATTGCCCAACTTTTTAACAATCATTTGCAAAAAAGAAAAAAAAAAGAAAAGAACACATTTAAAATGTTGTTTCTGTTCGTTAATCTGATGATAAAAATTGCGCTAGTTAAGTTTATAATACATAAAATATTTTGATTACAAAAAAACTGGAAATATTTCTTTTTTAATTAAAAAAAAAAGACTTAACCTTAAACAGTATCGCCATTAGATTGATAACACCTAAAGATGCACTAATTATTTTATACAGTTTTGATTTTTACTTGTTTTTGAATGGGAAGTTAAATTTCGTGATATTCTTTGTTTTTTCTTTTACTTTTAATTTTCGATCGTAACTAACTTTAAATTTAAACTAAAATCTCTGGAAATAAAACTATTGATTAATAAAAAAAATCACCAAAAAATAAAAAGTTAACTATCCACAATTCTAACTAATGTGATTATCACATTATTTTTATAGAGATGGATAAATATTGTCCAACATTTTTAATAAAACAAGGAAAACAAATTATCAAATTAAAATAAAAATAATTTTAATTTGAAAAATTTAAAATAAAATCAATAATGGATTATTCAAATGTTTCATGAACATTTCCATTTCAGTTACTTTTTCATCTTATTTAAGAAAACGAAAATTAAAGAAATTAATAAAGATGCATTTAAGATGCATCATTTTTTCGATATCAGTTCTTATTAAAAATATAGTGGTGATTAAAACCTGAACAATAAATTGTTTTGTTTTATAGTTATATTTCCTTTTTAAACTTAAACTTTAAATATAAGTAAATTATTTAAGATTGTTTTTTACAATGATGGAATTTTTAAAAAAACAATATTAGTTAATTTATAGGTGGTGTCTTCAAATAGACACAAAATAATTTAAAAAGCGAATAACAGCAAGAAGGCCATCATAAGACAGAACAAACCCATAGCTTCAGATAAAGCGAAACCCAAGATAGCATATGAAAACAATTGTTGTTTAAGTGATGGATTCCTTGCATAACCAATAATTAAGGAGCCAAATACTGTTCCAATACCAGCACCTGAAATAAAACAAGAGAAAATATGCGCAGAAAATAATGTAAAATATTATATTTCCTCTTAAAATCTAGGAAACATAAAATAAATAATACTGAGGAATTAAAAGTACTTTGCTTTTTTAATAATTAATAACTAATTACCGCTCATATTTCATTAGCAATAAAATTAAATAGTATTTAAAGTAATAAGTGCTGTGAAAATTATATATACTATGCTAAATTTTCATATATTTGACGTTTAAAATAAAAATTCAATAATTAAGTACCTCAATATTAACAACTTTAAAAAAAATTAGTTTTAATTCAAAAAATATGTTAGCCAGTCATAGATTAGTCTGAATTGAGTTCTAAGTTTTTTTGACTTTTAAAATTCGAAGAATATTTTCTTGAATTTTGAAGCAAAATTCAACTTAGCATGCATATTGAACTAAAATTGCAGGCCGCGAAAGTTTTCAAAGTAATTAAAAATTTAATTTTAATTACATAAACAAATTTTCTTGTTCTTTCGCCTTTTAATCATACAAGCTCTTTCTCAAGAGAAAAACTATTCGATATTTCGAAAAGTTTGGCCGTTTCTCAGACCTTCCCGGGGCAAATTTGTAAAGTAACTAAGTACTTGTGCGAATACCCCAAATGCATGTTTACAACTGGCTTAGCATTATTTTTTGGAAAAAAAACTATTCCATTTTCATTTTCATACTGTTTTTTTTCTTTTTTACAATAAAAAATCAATGTATATTGGTATTTGGTACCCAATTCCCAAAATATGACAAAATTTTCCTAGTTTCCTCAGTTTTATATGAACTCAATATATGTATATAATAAACGTACCAGAACCGGCTACACCTACTGTAGCTGCTCCAGCACCAATGAATTTGGCAGCGGAATCAATATCACGTGTGACTGGTGAGGTCTGGAATGACCTAATTTGTGGCAGTAATGCAACTGGTGCTGTGTTTTGGGCAGCCAAAGTTTGACTTTGTGTAATGACTGCACTACTAATTGGCCTCAAGTATGCTCTTGATGAAGTGAGCATCTGAAAAAAAAAAATAAAAATAAGTAAGAATTTAAAATTTTTCTACTAAAAAATAAAATAGTTTTGAAATAAATTTTCTTTTATTCTATTTGCTAGTTGGAATCTATATTTTTTTAATTTTTAGATTAAACAGGTACATTTATATAACATTACTTGGATTTTTAAAAATCAATAAATTGTAATAGGTGAGAGTTAAGTAGGTAGGTATGTATATGAAATTTTTAATATAGTTTTTAATCAATTGTACCTTAAATTTACTTATATATTTAATTACATATAGCATATCTAATTAAATTAAAATATTTATAGAAAGAAAAAATTATTAATAGTTTTAGATAACAGAATGTTACATAAAACTTCACATTAGAAAAATTTTTGAAAATTTATGTACATAACCTAAAAATTATGTAATGTATTTAGATCTGAATATTAATTATGCAATATTTTAAAAACACTAAAAAAATTATGTTTAAAGATATTCCAACTGTTTAATATTTTAGGTAAATACTATTATAATAAGTTATCACTTACAGCATTTCTGGCAACTGGGGCGAGACGTGAAACTGTAGATACGAACATATTGTTTTTATTTTATTATAATGAGGCTACTAGCGCAATCTCTGAAATAAAAAATAAATTTAAAACTTGAATTTGTCTTTTTAAAATTGAATTATCAATATAAAAAATAAAATAAATAAGAATTTTTACACATATGTATGTATGTAAAGTAAATGAAGAACTTTTAACTTTTAAGTTACGTAACAAAACTGAGTATACGTAATTATATTAGAAATGCAAATCTTTAATCAAATTTAATATTAAAAAAACAACTCATAGAATCTTAAAAACACTTCCTAATTATTTGGTAATAAAAAGGATAATTATATAATTAATTATAACTTAAAATTATATTATTTAAAAAAAAAAATGGCTGACATTTTTTTTCAACTCTTATTAATTACTTTATAAAAGAAATTATCTAAAAATCACTTAATTTATGCACTTAATATTTTAATATTTTGTTTTAATGGCGCGATGCTACTAAGATTAATTAAATTTTTTAAGATAACTTTTAAAGAAAAAAAATTCTTCATAAACTTTTTTCTAACTTATTTCAATTACTCCGAATTTAACTCACTTCACAACAGCAGCGGCTGACTTACCGAAGATTAGTGACTTGAATGATATAAAAATGGAGGACACTGCCGGTAGAGATATATAATGACAGTGTAGTATAAAAAAAAATTTATTGCAGCGCCATAGTGATCATCGATTTTTGAAAATTTTTTGTACTAACATTGTGAACACGCACATTCGATTTTATTTAAAAAAGTGGCTACATTAATTTTTAATGCAAATTGATTATTATTTTTTTCGCTATACGATTATATTTACTTCAAATAGAATATTTTAGTAACATATATAATAATTTTCATTTTAAAACATATTTTCAGAAATCTATTATGTGATTTACCAATTAATTCAACTGTTAAAATGAAATCCTCTTGCATCAATGTTTGTATTTTACTCGTTTCCCCTTGGCCATAAACACAAAATTAGTTTGTTCGCCAGTAATAAAAATTCAAATAAAATTTTGTATCATAAGTCAATTTTTAATTAAGCAAAATATAAGTACATAGATATATTATACTTATTACTTTTTCGGATAAATTTCTTGTTTTTATGATTTCGAAGCTTTAACATGATTTGAAAATGGTCTTTTTTTGGAATTACTATTAAAAGATTTTTGACTTGAAAATGTTGAAATTTTATTACAAAAGAAAAATAATTATCGGAAAATATATTAACGCAAGGTACCATTTTCTATAATTGACCAATCGACTAGGAGAACATATATGTATATCATAAAAAGGTATGTATAAGAATCGTTTTTTAAAAGAGCTATTGCATGTCGCCCATTATGAAAATAATATTTGGAAAATTGAAATTTATTAATAATTTAATTACATGCTTGTGTACACACTTCAGTATAATTAAATATAATACAAAACTTTAATAAAACTATGAAAAATTAAAAGTTGCATGTCTGCGGAGCCCATAATATTTGACATTAATTTTATAATTTTAATTTTAAAAAATGTTTGTCATACAGGTGTTTTTAGGAGCCCTTCTTAGATTGTCGGAATATCACCTTAGTGCTTACATGAATATACATATAGTTTATAAATCTTGACATTACAAAAATCAGTCGTGGTATAAATCCTTAGTGTAAATTGTTTTATTTTAAACTTTGTTTTAGAAGATGGGCTGAGCGTAATAACAAAAATTTTAATGCAATATTTTCTGTCAGGATCTTTTTTCAAAACCTGCACTAATTACTTATATTTGATTTCAATAGCATATTTATTTAAATTTTAAAATTTATACAAAATTAAAACATCATCAAAATATTTCACGCCATTGCACTTAAAAGTTGAATTTTTATACATATGTAATTTTGGTTATGTGTATTTTATTTTAAAAATATATATGTATATTATAGCAACAATTTGATGTTGCATAAAGCTAAACGTTGCTACATCACATTATTTTCGAATCTTACTGAAGTTTTTTAAAATTCTCTACGTCGACGTGGAACTTCGTGTCAGACACGAAATTTGTATGTAGCTTACTTACAATTATATATCTACTAAGTAGAAAGCATTATTATTTGTCGACTGTCGTTTTCATCTAGTACGCAGATTTTAATTGCAATTAAGTAAATACATTTATTTAAAAGCAGAAAGATCAAATTAGATTAGCAGACAAATTCCATTAAAATTGATTTTAAATTAAAAAATTGAATAAAAATGGATAAAATCGTTAAATTTTGTGAACCTGGACGTGCTTTTGCTAAAGATTCCATTAGGCTTGTGAAAAGATGCACAAAACCAGACAGAAAAGAATTTCAAAAGATAGCAATAGCAACAGCAATTGGATTTTGTATAATGGGTTTCATTGGATTTTTCGTAAAACTAATTCATATTCCTATTAACAATATTATTGTTGGTTCATAATTTTAGTAAAATAAGACTTAAAAAAATTGGTAGAAATTTTGTGCTAAGTTCTTATATTAACTCTTGCAATATTTGTGTTTTCATCAACATTATAAAGCAGATTTTCTGTTATCACTATTATTTTTTTTAAATAAAAATTTAAGATGTAAATGGCGACTTTTATTATTTACACTAAATGAAAAATATGAAAGGTGAAAGTAATGGATCGTGGCAGTCGAGCGGCAATGGTGTAGTACAAACAAGGTAATTGTATTACAGAAATGGTTCATATTCCAAGTTTATAGAGGATTTTTTTTGTTATTCAATGTGTCAAAAAAAAATTAATTTTAGATAGCAGAAGGATTTTAATTTTAAATACAAAAAAAAAAACATGGTCATTTTCGAAACAAGCAAGTGTTGAAATATTTTTACTTTGATTTTACCTGAGTTTAAAATCTTCATTTGATAACAATAATTGCATTATTTTTAAGTAAATATTAAATAACTTAAAACACACTTAAAAAATTTATATGCTGACGTACGAACGAATTAAATTACTAATTAAGAAATGAGCCATAAAGTGAAACAAGGGGAACATGTACTATTTGTACTACACTTATTTTTTTACCTATAATTTCTACCTCCACTTATTTTTTACCTAAAATTTAATCAGATAGAAAAGTACATATTTATGTATCTACTGTCACTGGATTATTACATTTAAATATTTTTGATAATTAATAGGTATTCATTATGAAATAACTGCTCTAAATAAAATTTGTAATTTCATTTTAGGTTTTTCTTAGTATAATGAATAATTCACCTATTACTACTACCTGTATATTATAGGGGATGATTTAATTATTTAGTAGCTAGTTGAATAATAATATACAATGCAAATAGGTATAAATATTACCAGCATCACAAAATGTTTTTAGAGCAACATTACAAACAATGATATAAGTACTCATGTAAATAAAATTGCCATGACAAATATGTAGGTCTACATTATTCTATTAGCTGCAATGAAAAGAGCCTTTTTTCTTGAACTAATAAGCTAAACAACAGCTATTAAAATTGTATGTTTTTAAATTTTTGTACATGCTACATTTGGATTGGTACATACTTTCCTTTCAGAAATGCATTAAAAAAATTTTTTTCCTTCGTATACACAAACTTTTATTATAGGTAGGTATGTATAATCAGATAGCAAATGTTCGCTTTGCAGAAGGAAATAAGGGGTCACTAGTGATGAAATTTATACAGAAAATAAGTAAAATTTTTAATATAGCCCAAATCGAATCACGATGAGTAATCCGATAGTGTGACACACTTGTGAAAAGCAGGTATATATAATTGATTAGATATTGGCATGAATTATTTTGAACTTGCTTACGTTATGTTCTATTGGAGAATCAAAAATCTATTTAAACTTTGAAAAACATTCGTAAGAATTTTAACATTTATATGTACATACATAGTATTATAATCAATAGTTTAGCCCAAAATGCAATAAGTAGCTGTACTCTACTTTATCCAGGAATTTATGTATTATTTAAGCAAGAAAATATCTAAAATTTCTTTTCTTTTGTTTGCATAAACAACAATTTAACATATTGCAATCTAAGAAGAGATGTTAGGATTTACAGATCAAGAATATAAAACTTATTTTCATCTGATTGAAAACATTCGTATTTTTTTAAGGCATTTATAGAGCGCAATGCTGCCATCCCATATGTACATATATCAAACAAGATCCATGAACAATTTCAAATAATAATTGAAACCCTGCCTGAATTATCGGAAGCTTAATAAGTAATGCATACTACATGCAATTTACAGTTGAATTTAATTGAAGAAGGTAATTAGGTAGTTATTTATAGTCTGTTTCGCCTGCACGACCCCGTTTCTTCATATTTAAAAAAAAAAACAAAAGAGCTTAAGTAATAAGTATACACATGTGACATGATGTGATGTACACAATCTACGGGATATAGATATGTTTATATAGTAATACGGTAAACAGAGCCAAATTCAGGACAGATAGTCTGCCTTGGAGACAGATCCTTAGTGCGTCTTTAGTGCTTGATTATACCTTAATATTTAATGCAACTTTCGTGAAATGAATTTCGTATTTACAAAAATTACAAGGTAGAACCAAACAAATTAATAGGAGTGGTGCCACCTTACCATTTTTCCGAATACGAAAATCTTTTCACGATAATCAAATTATAAAGTAATACCGCTAAAATTAAAATCAAATGTTTTAAAGTCTTAAATATAATTTTACATATCGAATAAAAATCGAAAGTAATTCATAAATAATATGATTTGCTTTAACCTTTACTTGCTAACCATTTGGTTAAGAGTGTTAGGTAACTATCAACGTTTGACAACAGTTTACGATCTATGTTTTAAATACGTTTGCATTCAAGATATGTCGCTTCATGAGTTCCCGATTAACATTCACGTTCTGTAATTATAAAACCGTTGTATTAATTCAAATTACAAAGAGAGTGATGTAAATTTAATAGGTTCATTCAATTTGAATTGGCTAAATTATATTTTTATGGGAAATAACAGTCAATCAACCTAACACGATAAATAAAAAGTGGAAAGAGAAAAACAAACCAACCAGCTCAACATCTAAATAAGTAAAACCACTAATCTGAGCAGTATGGAATAATTGTAAATGGAAAGTAATGGAAAATATTGCAATTAAGAAATATAGTAAAATTATAAGTTTCGTATTGGAGAAGTGGGAAAGAGTAAATTTTGGCTTAAAATATTAATCGATTAATTTTTAGTGGTTAATGTTATCTTCACAAATGTGGACATATCGAAGTAAGTTGTACCAATTTTTCTTCTCATGCATATATCTTTATATGGGGTATGAAGATCATGAAAAGCATTATGTGTATGAAGTGTGTAATTATAACAGATATGTTTATGTCAAAAAAAGTTTACGTCACGTCGACTTTCGTTAAAAAATAGGGCTTGTTTTCCAAAGAGGATGAAAATAAAACTCAAAATTAAATGAAATGGATTAACAAGTAAACAAGTGAATTATAAAAACAAATTTCATTTTCGTACATACAGTTGTGTGTATTCATTATTTTTATTTGACGAAGAGTTTTCGGAATCGTTGACAGTATTCATATTTTGAACTTAAAAATAATCAAAAAATCGTCTTGTATTTGGATTTCTGAAACTGTTTAACTGAAATAATGATTTAATTTTTTAACAAAACTCTTTTTTAAAATAAAAAAAATCAGAAAAAAAAGTTTTTGTTTTCGTTAAATTACAACAATGAGTGAATTGTTGAAAAAAGTTAAAATTTTTATTTTTGACTGCCTGGGAAAACTCATATTTTGTTGCTACGTATCATTTTTCTTAATTTTTGACGTATTGTTTTCAACGGGAGCCATTTGATTCATTGACAGCTTGTGCTACTTTTGTGGATCGATTTTTAACATAAAAAGCAACAACAACGTCAGAGGCTACTCTCTGTAGTAGTTCGTTTCGTTCATCAAATTTTTTGGAAAAAAATTAGTTTTAATTGCTTAGAAATAGATAGTTTATTATTTAAAAATATTAAAGAATATTTGAAAATGTGGTAAACATATATATAATTCGCTCCTTTAAAATAATGACGATTTGATTATAAAAAAGTACCAAAGCCAATTGCATAACCATCTATCTTCGTGAGAGCGAGAGAGAGTGAGAGAAGGAGTAGAAACTAAAACTGTGAAGATGGCAGTTTTTCTCCTAAATATTTGCAAATTCGATGGCTGTGGTATAACTTTTCCAACTTTAATGGATTTAATAGAACATATTGAATCAACACATATAGGTATTATTTTGAAAATCTTAATATTAATTTAAAAATAATATTTTAAAATAACCATGACAACGTAGTTAATGGGCGGGGGTGTGGGGAACAATTGGAGGTTCATGTTTATCATCGATTTATCAAATAAAATAAAACCTCTCTCAGCTGTGTATAATCTTGTCAATGTTTTTTATTTATAAATACATATTTGTTTATATTAAAGTTTTAAATTTCTCTTATTTCAGATATTAAATTATTAATTATTATTCCTTTGTAGACTACGACCCAAAAGTAGTTGAACAAAAGGAACAGGCTCAGCCCACCTGCTTACCTTTAAGTTATGTTCTTAGATTTATTGATGCTACACGTAAGGAAAGCCCTTTTATATCATCTGGGGCTCATTCTGTAGATTTGAAAAGAAAGTTGGCAATTAAACACCATAGCTATAGTATGTCTTCTTCTAACAGAAGTAACACTCCAACAGGTTGGTTTCTACCTAGAAACAAGATACGAATTACTATTTTGTTATTTTTGTCTTTTATACTGTTCAGGAAGTGAACTGGATGAAGACGAAATGATGGTGTCAGAGTCGGAAGATAGTAATGACTCTTGGACCACTGAAGAATTCAGTTCAGAGTTCATTATGCGATATGGCAGCAGGTAAATGTTTTCTGAAAAAATATTTGAAATCGAATTAATCTTATACACTCACAACTCGCAGACATTCTGGTTCTTCCAGTGGGACCCCAGGAAACGAGAAACCATTTGCGTGTCCTGTGCCTGGATGTAAGAAGCGATATAAAAATGTGAATGGTATAAAGTATCATTCCAAAAACGGTCATAAGAAAGATGGAAAGTAAGTATAAAGTAAATTTTTTAATATTTGATTTAAAAAACATTTCTTAACTTGTTTTTTAAGGGTCCGAAAGGGTTACAAATGCCATTGTGGAAAAAGTTATAAAACAGCACAGGGCTTAAAAAGTCACGCCCTATCATCACATAATTCATCTCCAGATATAATAAATGGGAATAATATTAATAACAATAACAACGTTAATAATAACATTAATATAAACAGTACTAATAACTTAAATAGTAATAATAATATTGTTAATAACTCCCAGAATGGAAGAAGTTCCCCTTCTCAGTCCATTGGTTCATCAAGTCCATCTAGTGTTAGTAATTTATCAGGAAGCAGTTCATTAAGTTCCAATATTGGCGGTACTTTATCTTTGAGTACTGTAAATCAAAGTCAGCAAACTTCTATAATTACTCAACATTCTATTCAACCAATAGCATCTTCTGCAACAACAATATCAGTTGCTCCTACCGGCTTGGTCCCATCAAACACTACTATAAATCAAAATTCAGCAACTGTGAACAGCACTAATATTGCCAGCAATATTCTTAAAGGTAATTTAGGTTTAATATCTATAAAAACAACTTCAGGAAAACCGGCAACAACTGCGAACTTAATAGCAGCTAATAAAATATTAAAATTAACTGCAACAATAGCGTCGACAAGTGCCAATAACAGTATTGCACAGAATGAAAAATTAAAATTCGAATTGACTTCCACGGGAAATTCAATATCAACTAATACAAACACCAATAACAACAATAACCATAATCAGGGTAATACTTTTGAAAATCTTCCACTAACTCCAATCAGCCCAAATATGCAGCAACAATCACAACAAATTACGAAAACGCTTACTGCAGCCGGCAATACTATAACTGGAGCTACTATTCTGGGTACAAATGGAAATGGAATAACTCTTTTAACTACAGGACCTACAACAGTCCATGGTGGGGTATTAAATGAAAAACCGAACGGCGATGACACGTAGCCTATACTCAAGACATTATTAATGAGAAGAAAATAACATTATTAATTTTAATAAATATTAAAAAAAAAACAAAAAAAAAAAAACAAAAAAAAATACTATTGTTATTGGATTACATTACATACATATATGTATATATAATCACATTCATTTTTTCATATTTTTGAAATCCATCAACGGATTACTCTTATATTGTGAATTAATTGTTAAGATATTTAATGAACAAATTTTGAAAATTGCCACCAATTTAGAAAATATTACTGTAAAAAAATTAAGATTTTTATTAATTTTTTATATGTATTCCTTTTTCTATTATTTTTTTTTTGTAGGATTCGCTGTGCAATTAAGTTCATGCTAAATTTTAAGATTTGCCTCCTTAATTAAATAATTTATTAAGAGCATTTGATTTTATTTTGTAAATAAAATAATTTGGAACTGTATATAAATTAAATAATTTAAAATTTCTAATGTATACATTGATGTATGTATGTATGTAAATTTAATTTAGTTTGATCAAAAGAAATTTTTATAATATTTTAAGTTTTGTAAATATTGTTATAAAACATTAGTTTTGAGATATTTGCAATAGCTGCACAAGTAGTATAGTTCTTAATATTTTAAGAAATTTTGGTTTATCATTTTTTTAAGGAAATTATTAAAACTATGTATTAAGTGTAGCAATTGTAATAATTTACTTAAACATAAAATGCAAAATGTTTTCTTTAAATTAAGCATTACTGAAAGGTGCAGTGGATCTAACATTTTATCACTGTAAGTGGTATTTATTGTTTATTACTATATATTTATAATTTCTTTTATTTTTTCCTATATTTTAATTTATTTATAATTTGATTATTTTTGATTGTCAGTCTCCTTATAGAGAGAAAATTTTAAAAGAAGAATACTTTAATGATGAATTACAGATTTCAATAAAATTAGTTTTGTTGTTATTTGCTAAGTAATCTTAAATAGAATAAGATGTAAAATTAGTAAAATTATTTTAATACAAAAAACTATAAGTTTTAGTTTGTGTATAATATATAAGGCACCAGTTAATCTGGCCGCTTAATATAACGCATCCTTAGAATATCAGAATATAATATGTATACTTAAAATGATAGTACATTTTTGCATCTTATTACTGTATAATGACGTAAAATTATCTTAATATTAACATAATGTAATTTACTAAAATGGATTAAAAACGTGATATCAATCATCTATTTTCAAAAACTTAGGAAATTTGATTGTTTTTTAAAGTATATATTTTTTTCTTTGATGAAGTGATGAATGTTGTGTGATAACTTTTGTCTTTTTTTTAATTTCGAATTAATATTTTTTTTTTATTTTTATTCAACCAATCTCTATAAAAAATTGCAGGAAAAATACTATATAACCTTAAATTTATGTATATGTAAAGAAAAAAATTATTAAATAAGAATTCAAAGTGCAATAATTGCTTAATTAAATGCTGTGTACCTTATCTTTTATAAGAAACATATTTTTTTACAAATCAAAATATGTACTGTTTTTTTATGACATAATATCAGTAGAAAAAGTTTTCAGTGCGGTTACCTAAATTTCAAAATGTTTTTTGTTAAATTTTAATAACGAAGTAAAAAAAAATACATTTTACATCATTTGTTATATGCAGTTGACATTTCAAATGAATAATTTTGAGTACGTTAATGCTTTGCATTTATAAATTTTATCAGTGCTTTCAAAGAAATAGAAGTAATTAAATTTCCTGGTTGAATGATTTTCAAAAGGAGAATCTTCACAATTTTGATTGGGTTATTTTAATTTTACATTAACTCTATTCTTTCAAATATAAATTCAACTAAATTAGAAAAGAAGTTAAGGTTGTATAGTATTAAAGTTGTAATTCTATGAAAGTTATTAAAGAAAATTATGTAAAAAACGGTTTATCACAAAAATGAACATATATGTATAAATCATAAAATTGAATAACAATGATTGTTACATTATTTTACATATATTGTTGGAATATAGCAGGTTTAAATTGCGATTTCTGTACATATACTTTGTTTAAATTATTTTTCGAATTATTTAATGAAATACTTAATCTTTTTGTGCAACAATATATCAAATTTCATTTTGTATTCATTTATTAATTGAAATGCTTATTTTTAAAGTAAAACGTGTAAAATTAAAAAAAGAAATTTAAATTATACCAATTCTCATCGTTACTTATATGTTGCTTTTCCTTATGTTTATATACAATTTATATGTTTATATAAAAATTTTTCATTTAATAAAATTAATAAATTTAATTGAAAGATAATATATAGCTATTATAGAATATATCAAAATAAAAAAGAATCAGGTTGTTAATGTTTTCTAAGTGTAAATTGTAATTATATAAAATGTAAAATAAGAAAAAAAAAACATAATTATTCATGTACGCATAAAAAATTTTACATGTTTTTTGAAATTATTACTTTATGAAAATAATTATCTTAAAATTTATTCAATTTGATAAAGCAACAAATATTTCTTTCAGAAACGGGAAGAAAATTATGTAAAAATGAGAGATCCTGTATGTGAAATTATTGACAAACTTATATTAACATAATATTGGATGTATGTATTTAAACATATATTGCTTTCCAAATTAAATGTCTGAAATTTTATAAAAATTTACAATATAAATTTTTAAAGAAACATCATTATTAATATTATATTTGTCAGATATAAAATTTACAAAAAAAAACATAAACAAAATTTTGGAAAATTTCTAAACTTTCATAAATTTTTTTTTTTTGCTTACTTAATTTACAATAATTTCATTAGAATATAAAAATATCCATGATTAATTAAATATTTTCGTGCAGATTAAAAATTATAAATTAATGTCAGTTCTAATAGTATGAATGTAACAGTTCTAATAGCAAAGTTATTTTTATTTAATTAAAAATTGAAATATAATAGAAGAAAATAATGTAAAATTTTATTAGCCATATATAACATCCTATCATACGAAATTAAGAAGGTAAATTGAGACCATTTCTATTTTTTGCTTTGTTGAATTAAATTAAAATCAATTTATTTTTTTATTGTACCCTCTTTACTTTTTTCAAAATCTTATTCATAATTTTGCAAAAACAAAAAAAAATTCAACATTAGAATTCTTCAACATTTTAAAAATTTTGAACGATCTTTATAATAAATTATGAAAAATATTAGTTGAAAATAAATTACCAGTAGGAATTCCTAAAATTGTAAACCTTTTATGATAAATATGTAATTGTAAATTTTTTTAGTTAGATAAATCTTTAACCAAAACTAATGTAAAAAACAAAAACTATCTTAGAAAAAATTTACCCTTCATTTGATAAAAAACAAAAAAAAAAAAATACTGAAAAAACTAATTCAAACACGCTTTCTTTATAATCTTAATCAAATAAAATTAAAATTGAATCTTGTTACTAGCTTATAACTTTCACAAGAATATGCTTGAAAACTTACTGAATTAAAATAAAAAAAAAGTCTTAATATCCTAGTCATAATAGTAGGTAAATATTACGTTAAATTAATAATAATATTATTTAAATTATTTTTAAATTATTGAAATAAAAAAGAAAATTTAATGTAAAACGCTATCTTTTATCAGGGTTGGCGATTGCCATAAATTAATTTTTATGCGATATCAAAATAAAGAAAATTACATCATGTAACATTTTTCAAATAATGTTAATTGCTAAACGCTGATGTATTCATTTTTATGTAAAAAAAAAAAAATTAAAAAAAAAAATTAAAAAAAAAATTTTTATTCAAAATAAATCCTATTAATTTATAAGAGACACACATTTAATAATAATAATAATAATTAATTATTAATATTTAATAATATAGTATAATAATATATGAATACATATTATATATATACAATTGATGTACGAATAATTAAAAAATATGCTTATATTTATTAATTAGAAATATAATATTATATTTGTATGTACATATTATATAATTATGTATGTTTAAGTTCTCATGTATTATAATAAAATTAGTTTTTATTTATATAATTAGTAATTTAACAATTTTATTTCTCAATAAGGTTTGTGCAATAAGTAATGTTAAATTAAATGTAATTTATATACATGCAATTTTGTTTTTCAAGAAAAAGAAAAAAATAAGCTTTAAAATGAAAAAAAAAAAATAAAAATAAATTAAAAACTGAACGTATATTTAAACACTGTGTAAAAGATGTAAATTTATAATTTTATGTTTTTCGATTTTAAACGAAAAAAGAAAGCTACACAGAAATATTTGATAAGCGAATATCACATTTTTTCTTTTTTTTTAAAGTAGTTTTTCAAGTAGATATTGATTTACTTTGTATTATTGTAATTTATTTAATAGCATTATGGCTATAATTGCTTTATAATAGATTATTTTTTCCTTACTCTGCCATTAACTAATCCGTAATTATTATTTTCATGAATGTAATAAAAAAATAACTTGTCAGTTCTAAACATAATCAAAAATTTCATAAGACGAAACTTTAAAAGTTTTATTTTAGGTCCAGTCAATTTCTTACATTTGAATATCCAGAGCACATTTTATATTTTGAAACGGCCTTATCCCATCTGATTTGAAAAAATATTTAATGATATGTGGGAATTATAAAAAGCTCTTCATAATTAAATTATAATTTTGTCTAAATTTTTTTAATCTTAAAAAAAATATATAAAAAAAGATTTTAAATTTAAAAAAAAACAAAAATCGAAACATATTTTTGAATACAATCTATTTGGTGTTAATTCTTACGAGATTCTCAATAATATTGTACATAATTTTAATATTCATAGAATTTTGATTCCTATTTTAAAGTAATAATAATAATAATAATAATAATAATGAATAGTAATCATAATAATATAAATTATAAATAATAATATTAAATGTAATTCATAGATACACATTTTTTGAAATATATACATATAATAAGATTAATCAAATAATAAAGATCTTTTAATAAAAAAGTTTTTTATAATTGCCAAGAAGAAGCTATTTTTTTTTTTTTGTAAATTTATGTATTTTCTTTTAGAAATAATTTGCCTCTGCCATATTCTGCAGCAAAAATTGTTTTTTTTTTAAAACAACGTTGTTTCTGATACATATAAATTGAAAGAAACTTGAATTATATTTTATTTAATTTGTATTTTGCGTTGTGTAAGATGTAAATAATCATCAATTCTAATATTTTAATGAAGAAATTTAATATCCTTAAAAATATTGTTTTTTAAATCCATATTAAAGTAAATTGAAATGCTGAGAGAAATTACAATATACATTTGTCCTTGTTCATATTTTTTTCTAAATTTCTGTTTTTTATTATAAAAAATTTGATCCGTTTTTTACAACTCCTTGTGTCAAGATGTATTAAATTATTTAATAGTGCAAGACGTATTTAAAACACCATTTAATTTTCAATTTTTATTAAATGCAAAATTTATTTGATTTTCATATTTCAGTTATAACATTCATATTATGTAATTGTTTTCAGTTCAAACATAAATTTAAAATCGAAATAAAAGAAGCATAATAAAATGTATATGCTATTTTTTTTTCTGCTTAAAATGATTTCTTTTATGATAATCTTTTGGTATTAATATACTAAAATATCAACCGGAACATTAAAAATTTGAATATTAAATTATTAAATATAGATGTAAATTAATCTGTTGATGTAATAAAGTAAGATATAAGCATACTTATTAAATAAAATTAAATAAATAAAAAAAAAAACAAAAGTAAGAAAAAAAAAGTTTAATATAACTCCTTTGAGAAAATATTTACAAGAACAAAAAGAAAAAACAAAACAAAAAAATTCTTATATAAGACTGCTGTATTTGTTCGAAATAAATCAGAATCTATTTAAACTTTGATGAAAATAACAATTTACAGAAATATAAAATTAAATATTAAGCAGATTACATTTTAATGCTTTTTTCGTAATTTCTTTTTCAGACAGTAAAGATTTCTTATCAAAAATTAAATAATTTTTAAAATGTGTAATTACTAAAAGTGAATAATTTGAGACAAAAAATTTTCTAAATGAAGTGCAAAAACTGAAGTTGCTGCAAAAAAAAAAATCAATTGATGAAACAAATATTTAATTTTTTTTTTATAATAAAATGACTTTTTTTTAGGGTATATTACACGTAGTTCGATTATAATACGGTAATACAGTAGTATTACATAATTTAATTATAAATTTTAAATTTAAAAAATTTTCAAAAAATAAGTTATAATTTAATAAAAAGAAACATTAACATTTTAACCATATTAAGTGTTTTTACAATTTTAATAATATTGGAAAAAATTGAAAGTTTTTAAAATAATTGCACGAAGGCTTTCTTAATTTGTTTTGGCCTTATTCATTTTATTTCTCTTTAAAAATATTTTTTAAAAAAATTATAACACTTCATTTGGAAATTATTATAAATGTAAGTGGTATGAGCTAAAGTTAATGTAGAAACAAAAATAAAATAAAATTATTATATATTTTATAAGATATTCAATTTTTTCATAACCGTATTAATTAAAATATCTTTATAAAAACAATCATGTTAAAATAAGTGTTATGTTAAAAACTACAACAAAAAAAAAATAAATTAATAAAATAGATGTAAAAGCATTTACACTTAAATAGCTAAAATAAGCGCAAACATATTATACAAAAAATTGGATAACATAAACAAAATATTAAAAATTATCAACGTATACGTAAACTTTTTTTTTTTTTTTGAAAAAAATAAATCCTGTGTAAATCTCATAGAAAATATTCTTAAATTACATACATACATTATGTCTAATAAAGCATTTCATAAAAACATAAAAATCAACAAAATTAACAAAAAGCATTAAAAGTAAAAAAAAAATATTCAATATTATATTAACATGCACTGCATGAATTTAAACAAATAAAAAGTGTAGTTAAAATGTTAAAAATAAAATCGTCTTTAATTTCAATGAATTGACTCAGAAATTCTCAGTTTATTTTATAATTCCAAAGAATACTTTATTCATTACTATTCTATGTTATTTACAGTTTGCAGTCAATAGGTTTTGTTAGCGTTGTACTTATATAAAATATTCCTATATCGAAAATTGTTGAAAATTAAATGCATTTATAATTATTTTGAAATTGTAAAATGCTTTATTTCCTTTAGTGAACATTTAAATAAATGATGTATCACATTCATCAGTAATTATCTTATGTATATATATATATTTAAAATTTTTTCATATAGAAACAAAACATTAAAATGTAATAATAATTCAAAAATTCACTTTTACTTTTCATTTGGTATTTGTTGTATTAAGTTCTGTACCTTGTCGTGTAATATAGTTTCATTATTTTTTATTGCATTCATTTTGATCATATATAAACTATTTTTATCTTTTTGTTCAAATGCTAGATTTGCCGCCTTCTCCAGTTTCCTAAAAATTTATACAAATTGTAAAAAAGTTTGTTAATAAAGATATTTAGATTAATTTAAATTACCCTGCTCTGATATACCATTTTACTTTCTTATCGTCACGGCATAGGGCAATATATTTTTCAGCTTCATCTTTTTTACCCATCTGAAGACATACTTCTACAAAAGGCTCATAACCTATAGGACTTTTTTTTGATTTACTCAATTTTTCTAATTCGGGCCAAAGATGTTTTTCGGCCAAACTTTGTATTTTAGTCCACCAATAACGTTTATCTGGAATTTTATATTCATTTTTAAACTTTTCAGCAGATTTTAAGTCGCCAACTCTAAAAAGAGCTTCTAGTGTTTGTTGTACGGTTAGTCCGTAAAATTCAATTCCATATCCCGAATAACTACAGAATTACAAAAACAATTTTCCCTATTTTTTTTTTATATTAAATATAATTTTTTTCTATATACTTTTCTGATAAACTCTGTTGACTCTTCATTAGTTTACGAGTATCGCTACATAGTTCCGCTTCAATAGTGCAACGACCTTTTCTGTAAGCTTCGCTTACATTAGGTAGGATTGACTCTAAATTTCCATTTTCGATTCCTTCTTTTAATGTAAAATCTGCTTGTGCTCTAAAATCATCTCCACTATTAAGGATGTCTTGTAATGTAGATAACTCAAACATTCTACAATATTTTTTAAATAGAGAATTTGCTATTGGCTGTTCACTTATTAAAGCCTAAAAAGATAATTAAAGTTTTCAATGTAAAATTTTTACAGAAAAATCTTCATTTAATGGTTTTACAGAAAAATCTTTTTTGAATTTGGGACTTGATCTTAGTTTTATTAAAACAACTAAAATCAGATCAGTATCTCCGGACTTAACAGCGCATTGTAAAGCTTTTCGTCCTTCTTCTAATTTTAATAAGAGTGGCACCTGATTTGAAGCTTTAGGTTCTAAGTCAAGTAACTGGGAAATAAACATAATTAAAAGTAATTTCAAATGTTATTTTGGAGATGTCTAATTTACTTCTAATGCTAAATTGGGACGCCCGCTTTCGTGAGCTTTATCTGCAATATTACTAAAAGATACGCCTTGAACCGTTGGATTTTTGAATTTTTCAATTATTTTCCTAGCTACTTCTTTATCATCTGCAAGCAAAGCTTTCATTTCAGGCTTGAAATGAATCTATTAATAGTTAAAATGTTTACCATTATCATATTGTATTTTGTGGAAAGCCCAATGTTCAAGTATTCTAGACTCTGGTAATTTCAAATGTTTTGCAACATGTACAGCTATAGCGTAATGCTTTCGAAATACAAGACGATCTAAAACGACATCAGCTTTCAAATTGCAGAATCTTAAAAAGATTTAACCGTTAAATTGATTAAAGTGTCAATTGTTTTATAAAATATTTATGTTACTGTTGATAAGTTAAAGGCATCCCAATTTTAGGATGTCTGAGGTTGTTTAATACCCGTAATATCCTACATACTGCCATATAACTGTCTGGATTATGTGATGGAATAAATCCTTTTCCAAAATATGCAGCCTAAAAAAAATTATTAAAAAAAGCTTCACATGTCACTAAACTGTTTTACCTTTATTAATACTTTCTGAGTTTCCGGGTCAAATTCATATCCCGCAGCTTCAATACATTCGTCAACCGCTTCAACAAATTTATTTCGAATTAAATTTAAATATTCATCTGATTGATGACTTTTTTCTAAAAATTTTTTATGGGCTTCGAATAAAAAACTTGCTGGTTGCTGACTATTGATGGCAAAAATATTCGAAACACATGTGGGAACTTTTTGTATCAATTCATGCGAAGTATATGTTAAAATTCTTATTCCATCTAATTCTGGTATTAAAAATGTTGCAGGATCGTACATAAAAGTCGTTTGGTCTCCATTAGTGTTAACAATTAATAATAAACTGGAATATGAAATTATAACCGCATCCGATTGCCGACAATTTTCTGGATCCAAAATCCATTCAATCTGTTTGGGACGTTCACTTCGTCCAGTATCGAATTCGCAAAATTTTGTTTTTAAATCTGTTGTCCCCAACCATATAATGCCATTATTCGTATATATTGCGAGGTAACGGTGATTAAATGATGTAGACATCAATATGATACTCTTGAATGGTTTTTCGAATAATGTTACGTATGTATTACAAGCTGTTTGACCTCGTACTAATTTTAATAGTTCTTTTTCTCTCGCAACCAAACAGAACGTATTCCGTTCTTCACTTACAATTTCCCACCAAGTTGGATCTACTGCTGACTCTAAAATTAAAATTAAATTATTTTTTCTTGTCCTGTCTTATATTACATTATGTAAATTTTTACTTGGTATTTCAGGCATTTGTTTTCCTCCAGGTTCTGTTACATTTTTTATGAAAAATATTCTAAAATTTGTTGTCATAACAGCTATACCAGTACCAGTTTGTGTTGGAAAAATTTTAGCACTAATAACTTTGGTGAGACTAGCTTCTTGACAAATACTAAGGTGATGTTTTTCTTGTCCGAACATATCATATATAAATACAAGACCATCGTTCTGAACACATAACAATTCTTCGCTTTCATTCCATCCCATAGCCAATAAATGTCCATGTTTCCACTTAAAAATAAAATTAATTTAACTAATGAAAACAATGTAATTATAATGATGCAGAATATACCTTAATTGCTGATAAAAATGAACCAGCACAGTTAAATATATAGATAACAGGTTTATCAGAGCTCGCTTTGTATTCTAAAATTTGTTGATAATCTCTTATCATTGCTATGGGACCACCATATGGAGCTCCACAAATGGCCATTTTTTCTAAATCTAAATCAGAAGGCCAATCAATATTGTACAATTCGATTTTCCTATGTTTGAAGAAATAATGAATGCAACAATCATTTTATTTTCCAAGTTTTTTATTACCGAAAGGTATTTCCTGGTCTCAGGTCGACCCAGTCTCCAGTATTGTACATAACCGGCATTTTGTTCACAGATTTTGATGTCTAAATATCTGTATGATCAAATAATTTTTTAATTTTTTATTTTTTAAATCATAAAAGAAAACAAAGTGCAATAAATATACTAAAATGACAGATAGAAAATTGCAAGAAAAAATTAGTTGAAAAGTGTTACCGTTTCGACTAGGAAAAGTGCAGATACTGCAATTGGTACAGATAATGTAGCAATAATGAAATTACAGAATATTAAATTTTGAAGTCGGTATTTTATTTTCATATCACCAAAAAAAAACTATTCTCACTTCCTCAAATTCAATATAAATTCAGCGTACTGCGTACATTATGAACGTTGTAAAAATGTATATTTTTTTTTTTTTACTCAGCGTTTAAACGTCAATTAAAGATTTGCAATCATATTTGGGATTGATAAAGATTGACCATGAAAATTTCATCAATCAATCATAAAACAATAAATGACAGAAATTAAATAAAAAATGGCGTAAACAAAAGTATTTGAATAAAATTGACTGTAATTAGCTGTTTTAATATTTTTTTGTTGCGGTTTATCATTTGATAGTGAAGTGGTTTTGAATTTTCTAAATTTAAAGTTCTTAAAAAAATATTTACAAAAATTGCAATGTAAACTTAAATTCTCATCAATCTCAATCATGATTGTGAATCCGTAAATTTCTGCCTTAGAAAATAATATTCTGCTGCCATCTAGTGAGGGGTAGAATAATTTTGAACTTTTTGGAAACTGAGTTGACGATGCTTTAATAAAAAAACGTCTAGATAAAAATTAAAATTATCCTGTAAAAAAATTAAAATCTCAATTTAGCTTTCAAAACTAACTCGTTTTAACGGTTAACTCGTTCACATGAGTTTATCTTATTTAAAAAAATTATGAAACAAAGGAAACGTCAATAAGTTTAATATAAAAGTCTAAGAATAAAAAGTAAGAAAAATTTATATATACAAAGTAGATGCATTTTTTGAGAAAACTAATGATTTCTCCATGGCAATGGAAATACATACATATGTACCATGTACCAAACAATATTTTATCAATATTAATTTGTAAGTTTATAGAAATTAATAAAAGTTATAGAAATTAATATAATATGAATGTCGTCATTTTCTCTTATTTTTGTTTAAAAAGCATTACCCCAGACACTTTGCATACAAAAAGTTTATAAAGCTTTTTCAAGTTTTGTTAAGTTTTTGAAAACTTTCTTATACCAGACAGACCTTTTGTGAAGTAGAGCATATTTGTATTGGGAAAATATTTAACTTTTTTTAGTCAATTTTCTTTGTTCGTACAAGTCTTTGTTCTTTGTTCTTTCTTTGTGATACAAGTCGTACATATATGTAAGCCCTGTTTGACTTTTTTTAATGGCAAGTAATAGAAATTACTTTATTCTGAGCATTTAAAAAAAAAATGGCGACAATTTCTTGTTTAAGTTTGGAACCGTGATTAGCAAACTTTTATTTTTTTTTTCGTTATAATTTTCATTGCAAAATTATTAAATTTAAACTTTAAGTCTGAGCGCCATCAGATAATTTATTTCAGTCTGATATCTGATAATGATAGCAGTCATCATTAATGGCTATTGAAGTAGATCACAAAGTAAATGAAATATTGGCTTGGCGTGGCGCTTCTTGAGAAATTGAAAGATAAGGAGGAGGGTACTTACATAGGTTAGTATTTAACGGTAAATAGTTATGTAGCAAGAGCTTGTATGTTTGACAATAATAAATTTTATAAATACGTTATGTAAGTAGGTATGAGATAATTTTATGTAACAATTTTCAATTTTTCAACGTAGTTTTTTTTTAATTTAAATTTTTTATGTAAAATATACTTTGTTGTTAAAATATTATTAAAGTTTCTGAAAATGTTTTAATCTGCGTGTATTATTAATCAAGTTTAAATATTTTGTTAATATTTTGTTTTCATTTAAAAGAAAACTTTAATTATATGATAGAAGAAGAAAAAACAATTATTTTATAAAATATACAATCGTTTATGCAATTAATCAATTTTTTTTTTTCATTTTCAAATCATTAAATTTATTTCGTTACATTTATTCATTTTTTTTATTTAACAACAATTATCACAATAAAATTTTTTAATATAAAAATATACACAGGAATAAAATGTTTTCATTTGGACGCACAAAATTTAAAATGTTCATTTTATTAACGAAAATACTTACATAATACTCGTATTATACACACATACATATTTACATGTTATAAATTATAGGATATAAAATATTGCTACAGGAAAAATAATAAATTTATTTTTATTTAAATGTACCATGTAGACGTAGACTTTTTTTTTTATATTATACCGTATATAAATTTTAAGTAGTAAGTAAATTGGTGATATGAAACAACCTTGTCATTTAACATATATTTATATAATTATAAATAATGTATAAATTATGAATACAAAATAATATATTGTATGAGAATATTTAAAAAAAGGAACCTTTAATTTTAATAGTATGTATGTGTATTTAATTTTCTGTATTATAGTGCACAATCATACGTAATTTATCTTACAATAATATTATTATAATTGTTACTTTTACACATTAATTACATTTGAAATTGTATAAAAAATTATTTCACAGTGTTAAACAAAAAATTAATACAAGAATCAGGAACAAATTAATATAGAAGAGGTGCAAAAAGATATTTTAATATAGTAGGTAGATTCTTGAGAGGATTTCGTATTGTTGGGACACATTTATGAACTAAAACATTGCATACTTATTATTAACAAGAATAATTAATAACGTCCTGCGATTAAACATTAATAAATTGGTATTATGGGTTTTTTTTTTTATTTATGAATTTTATAAGTTCTAATTTAAAATGTGTGTTTTTAGAAAATGTTGGAGAAACTCAACTGCCAAAGCTTAATTTCATTCTCTATTCAATTGTAAATCTGTATTTTACTTTTTATTATGAATTATATATTGTATGACACCTAAATATTGAACAAAGTATATCATTCGACAAAAAAATTAAGAGTTCCTTGTGAATTGCAAGTACATACTAGGTATATTTTGGGATTTGTTATTGCAATTTATTGCATTAAAATAAATTTAATAAGAAATAAACGAATCGCAACATATTTATATACTATTTAATTATTTTTGATCGTATTTGTTTAAATAACGCATATATTCAAGTTATGTACCATATATAATTGTGCAGTATACATTTACTTTGTAAAAAATAATAAGTTGTGTTTATTACACTGCGTGTATATTATTATTTTTAAAGTAACAGATGGCTGAACAAATGAGTTATTTTTTTTTTTCAAATAAGAAAACTCAAAATAACAAAAATGGATGTTTGTATATGTAAAAAGAATTTTATTTATTAATCCAACTTCCCGGAATAAAAAATACAACATAAAAAATTACCAAATATAACTACAATAGTGTAGAAATGAACAAATTTCACATTTTACTCCACATTTCAATTTCCAAATTTTTATATAAAAAGCATTAATTATTTGTGTAGAAGTTATAAACACATATATAATTACACTAATTGACATAACTTAACTTTGAATATTTGTTACTTTTCACTTTGTTACGTTTTTTTTTTGGAGTTATGAAAATTTCATTCATGAATATTGTTATACATAATTACTGATCGCAAGTTTTTGTTAAATTGATATATTTTTGTTGTTTTTGTTATCTACTACTAAACAAATACTTACATACATATTAATTTAAACAATTTGCTATTATTTAATCCAAAAAGGATTTTAATTTAAAGGTATTTTCCTGATACAAAATCAATATTAGAAAATTAATTCGCTTAAATTTTAACGTATTACAAAAATCAACTTCTAGGCCCTGTTTTATTTATTCTAAATTTTTATAAGGCAAGAACGTTTATTTTGACTTTTTGATTATTGTTTTATAATTAGAAAATATATAGCTCTTGTAAATTGGAAAAACATAATTTTGGACTTACTTTTATACTATTAAACCCATGTTATATTTTTTTTCTAATAATTTGAATATGGGATTATCGTGAGAATTTGTGACTAATATGTTTTATAAGCTCTTTTAACTTAAGAAAACTGAGAAAACGTCACATTTTACGTGTAGCACACAATAATAGAATAATTTAATTTTATAATCTATTTATTAGATTTGCTAAATTTATAGTGAGGACATGGTTATAGTTAGTTAAAGGAAAAATATAAAGAGATAAGGTATAAGAACCTTCTTACCATTGTATTGTACATACAATTGTATATATATTTTTATTCAGATTATCAATATCTAGATTGTATATGATTATCTACAAATATTTTAAAAATTTTTATAAACGCAATATTGCAAAATAATAATCGTAAAAGTGCAATATTGCAAAAACCTAATGTGCTGGATATATGTAATATATTTTTTTAAGTAATCTATGAAATCATAGTTATAAACAAATTATATTATTAATAGCAACAATATTAGCAGCATTTCACCACATATGTCGCCATATACTGCGTTTATGTAAAAGGTTGCTGATTGTTTCAATAAAATACGGTTTCAGAGCTGGAACATTTTTAAGTAATTGGTCAAGAACTGTAGAGCTTTGCAAGCTATGATTTAAAGAAAGGTTGTGCGTATTTGTTTTAAAAATGTATATTTGCACTTAAAATCTATATAAAATAATATAGACTCATGTAAATATTATGTAGATATGCTGAATTGAAAAATTATATCAGCGAATCAGATAGCACAATGTATACCATAAATATTTTTATAATCATCAAATAAAGAATTTAAAAAACAACTCTGATGATGGTTTCATAACTAAATAAATTTATTTCAATCTGTTAAAATTAAATATAGATATGAGTGTAAGTCTACATATATATATATATATATATATATATAAATTTGTTAATGCAATATATATGAAAATTATAATAAGCATTTAAAATAAATACAATTATTATAAAAATTTATTTCATGAAATTAAGATTAAATTGTATAGCCGTAATATGAGAGTATTAATACTAAAAAAAAAAAAAAATGAATAAAATTCGTTAAAATCTATTGAAAATCATAATGTGTTCTGTCC